CTGGCCTGTAAAAAGGAGGTGGGGGTGGGGCGTTAGCCTCACATCTTGCCTTCAAAGCTACTCCCGCCTCTGGCTTCCCTGGGTTAAAGTCACCTGGCTTTGCAGTTCCCTCCACCCCTTTCCTTCCTCCTCTCCCACTTCCCTTATTGTTTGTCCCTCCCTCCCCATGTCCTTCTCTTTTTCTAAAGTCCTCATTGGTCCACACCCAGGGCCACTAGGGCCTCCTCCTTCTCGTTGGCCGCCAGGGTTATCTGGCGTTTCTGGTTATCAAGGTGTTACTCATGCCACTCCCCGCTGCTAGCACATTCTGCAGCTCTGCATGCAAGTTAAACTCCAAAGCCCTTTTCCTGGATTCTCTTGACCTAGCCAAATGGTGTTCTCAAAAGCCCCTAGAGCAGTCCTGGCCTGCTTTGCCCAGCTCTGCTTCAGCCTTTGCTTCTGTCTGCAATTCCCTTGCCCCCTGCCCACCCTGTGTGTGTGTGTGTGTTGTTGGTCGTGGGGCTTGAACTCTGGGCCTGGGCACTTCAGCTCTTCAGCTCAAGTCGAGCACTCTACCACTTGAGCCACAGCACCTCTTCCTGCTTATGTAATGCTGAGGAATCAAACCCAGGGCCTCATGCATGCAAGGCAAGCACAGCCCTGTGGGTTTTGTTGTTTTGTTTTTGTAGGTCCTGGGGCTCCTTTTTGCTCAAGACTAGCACTCTACCACTTTGATCCACAGCTCCACTTCTGGTTTTCTGGTGGCTCATTGGAGATAAGAGTCTCAGGGACTTTCCTGGCTGGGCTGGCTTTGAAACCATGATTCTCAGGTCTCAGCCTCCTGAATAGCTAGGATTACACGTGTGAGCCTCCAGTGCCTGGCCCGTCACTGCTTTTTACTGTGTAAAACTCAAGACAGCTGTGTGTGTGTGTGTGTGTATGTGTATACCAGTACTGCAGCTTAAACTTTGGCTTGCTTGCTTGCTCATGGCTGATGCTCTACTACTTACCATTCCTCTAATTGGCGTTCTTGCTAGTCAACTGGAGATAAGAGGCTCTCAGACTTCTCCGCTTGGGCTGGCTTTAAACTGTGATCCTTAGAGCTCAGCTTCCTGAATAGTTAGTATTATTAGGTATAAGCCACCGGTGCCCAGCTCGTCAGCCTTTGAGATCCCTCTCCATTTTCTAGTCTGGCCTCCACACTTACTGTAAGTACCCCAGTACTGTAAGTAACTTACCCCAGTAAGTGTGCACTTGATAATATTTTGTCTAAAACCTTTCTTCCACCTTTGGATGCTGGTGTCTCATATCTATAAATCCTAGCTACTGAGGAGGCTGAGATCTGAGGATCATGGTTCAAAGCCAGCCCAAGCAGGAAAGTCTATGTGATTCTTTTTATTTATTTGGTCAGTCATGGGGCTTGAACTCTGGGCCTGGCCGCTATCCCTGAGCTCTTTAGTTTAAGGCTAGCACTCTACCACTTGAACCACAGCGCCATTTCTGGTTTTCTGGTGATTAACTGGAGATAAATAAAGAGTATCACAGACTTTCCTGCCCGGGTTGGCTTTGAACCGTGATCCTCTGATCTCAGCCTCCTGAGTAGCTAGAATTATAGGCATGAGCCATTGGCGCCTGGCTGTGAGATTCTTTATCTCCAAGTAACCACCAAAACAGCTCGGGACAGCACCCAGGCTCTGAGTTCAAGCCCCAAAACAGAGAACCTTTTTCCCCTAGCTGAGAATGCTGGAGGTGTCATAGGGGCTCAGCAGTCATGGGAGGCCATGGGAACTCCCCGTCCTACCCGTTACTCTCCTATACAACAAATAATGCCATTCATCATGAAAGGCTGGGGTTTATCGAGCTCAGAGATGTAGACACCAACTCATTTACTCCTTACAACTCTGAGATAGAAGTTTCTGTTTCTTTGTTTGGTGGTCCAGGGGCTTGAACTCAACCTGGGCACTGTCCCTGAGCTCCTTTTGCTCAAGTCTAGCATTCTACCACTTAAGCCACAGAATCACTTCTGGCTTTTTACTGCAATTAATTGGAGATAAAAGAGTCTCATGGACTTCCCTGCCCAGGCTGGCTTTGAACCATGATCCTCAGAGCTCAGCCTCCTGAGTAGCTAGAATTACAGGTGTGAGCCACTAGTGCCTGGCCGGTGCTTCCACTGTGGAAGGGGTCTGTGCCAATTTCCTGATGGGCGACTGAGGTGAGAATCTGAGGCCCCATCAACGCTGATAAGTTGCTGATAAGTTGCCAGCCTCCCACTTTGACACCGCCAGCGGCTGCAGCTTCTGCTTTCTCTTTCCTTTTTGTGTTCTAGCCCCCACCACTTCTCCTCCTTGAACTTGGGCCATAGACACAAGCTTCTGTGTCATTCTGGAGAGATCCCAGCAGGGATCTGCTTAAAGACCAAAACTCCCAGGGCTCACGTGGTTGGCACCTAGCACGGTGCCCCCGGGGGTATCTATAAGCATGGGCTCACAAATGAATGGGTATCTCTAACTTGGGATAATGGTGACTCTTCCCTCTGTTCCAAGTCCAAGGAAAACACAGGCTGCACTGCAGACACCCAGATGTGAACCACTGGGTCATCCCAATGTTCTCCCAACAGCTGATCTTCCTGCTTGTGTGGTTTATTCCCTCTCTCCCTTCATCTCCTTTATGGTCAGTCGTGGGGTTTGAACTTAGGTCCTGGGAACCGTCCCTGAGCTCCTTTTGCTCAAGGCTAGCACTTTTTTTTTTTTTTTGGTCAGTTGTGGGGCTTGAACTCTGGGCCTGGGTGGCACTGTCCCTCAGCTCTTCAGCTCAAGGCGAGCGCTCTACCATTTGAGCCACAGTGCCACTTTTGGTTTTCTGGTGGTTTACTGGAGATCAGAGTCGCATGGTCTTTTCTGCCCAGGCTGGCTTTGAACCATGATCCTCAGATCTTAGCCTCCTGAGTAGCTAGGATTACAGCATGAACCAAAGGCAACTGGCCACTCTACCATTTTGAGCCACAGCTCCACTTCTGATTTTCTGGTGGTTAATTGGAGATAGTCTCAAGGACTTCTTCCCCTGGCTGGCTTCAAGCTGTGATCCTCAGGCCTCAGCCTCCTGAGTAGTTAGGATTACAGGCGAGCCACTGGTACCCAGCCTTGTTTTCTCTTTCTTCCTTCCTTTCTTTTTCTTCCCTTTCCTTCCTCCCTTGCTCCCTCCTCCCCTCTCTTCCTCCCTTCCTCTCTTTCTTTTGCCAGTCCTGGTGTTTGACTGAGGGCCTGGATACTGTCTCTTGGACTTTTCACTCAAGGCTGATACTCTACCCTTGAGCCACATCTCCACTTGTCTTTTTTTGGCTGGTTAATTAGAGATCATTGGCTCATGGACTTGCCTGCCTGCCCAGACTGGCTTCAAACTCAGATCCTCAGCTGTCAGCCTCCCTAAGTACCTTGCATGACAGGTGTGAGCCACCAGCTCCCAGCTTGCCTATGGTTTTTCTCAAATAATGTGGCTGGATGCATACCTACCTTCCCCCAAGAAACATCAAAGGTTTCCTAGGGCTGTAAGAGACTCCTGTTTCTATGGCAACTATCTCCACCTACAAAGCCTCCTCCTACTGAGTAATCCCAGGATGCAAGCACAGTAACTGAAGGTGAAGTGCAAGTCACATTAGAATGGAATGAGAAGGGCTGGGTCTTCGTTGTTCTCAATTCTGGTTCTCAGGCCTCCTCTTCACCATTCCCTGAGCCTCTTGGGGGGGTCTCCTCCTACCCCTCTGATTCTAGTGCTCTGAGCTCCACGTCAGTCCAAATTTCTAATACCTATGATTTCCATGTACGTTATTGTTTTTGCAGGACAGGGGCTTGTGCTTGCTGGAGGCTCTACCGCTCACACCACAGCCCTAGTCTTTTTTGGCGTGACTTTTTCAGATAGGATATTGTTTTTTTACCTGGGCTAGCCTATACCTCCCTCTTCCCAATTTCTACCTCCCAAGGAGCCAAGATTAAATGGCATGAGCTGCCATGCCCAACTTTGCCATTATAATTAGTATTTATTTATTTGGCCAGTCCTGGGGCTTGAACTCAGGGCCTGGGCACTGTCCCTGGGTTTCTTTTGCTCAAGGCTAGCACTCTACCACTTGAGCCATGGTGCCACTTCTGTTTTTTTCTGTTTATGTGGTACTGAGGAATCGAACCCATGGCTTCATGCATACATTCCCACATTCCCAGCCCCTACAGTTAGTATTTTAAAACATCATTCTTTGGAGTGTCTGTAATCTGTAGCTGACCAATTTAGATCGAAGTTATAGAGCAGAGAGAGGAAGCGACAAGAAACTGCAGTCAGGCCCACTTGCTTATCAGTAATCTTCATGCAGTGGAAACTTTGGCCTCACCTCCCCAAACTGATCAAATCTGTACCCTTGAGGGGGTCAAAAGAGGAAGTGTGGGGTTGGCGGTAATGAGTGCACATCACACAGACGGGTGTCCGGGCTTAGGCAGTGTGTACTGTTCCGTGGGATTCCCAGAAACATCAGGAAAAACTCAGGGCCAGGTGCCAGTGGTTCACACCTGTAATTCTAGCTACTCAGAAGGCTGAGATCGGAGGATCGTGGTTCAGATCCAGCCCAGGCAGTCAAGTCCCGGAGACTCCGATGTCCAGTTAACCACTAGGAAACTGGAAGTGGCATTGTGGCTCCAAGTGGTAGAGTGCCAGCCTTGAGCGGAAAAAAAAGCTCAGGAACAGCACCCAGGCCCTGAAATCAAGCCTCGTGACTTACAAAAAGCCAACATTGTATGGTCTCTTATTCTGTAGTGATTTAAGACTGAAGGGAAAGGGTCAGAAAGCAAGTGTGTGTGTTGGATGCAAGCTAGATAGACCCAGGCATCCAACTGGTGCTGGTCCAGCACTTTACACGACTAGGTGGACAAGTGGGCTGGGGGAGGGCTTGGGTTCCCGCACACATTTCTCCCCCCTTCCTCCCCCAGCCCATTCACTTGGCACCCGCCATTCAAACACACACACACACACACACACACCACTGGGTTTCAAGCAGAGGCTTTGGTATTTGGAGGATTCGACAAAGTCCAAATCAGAGAAGGGGGGGGGGGTGTGGTAAGGGACAGAATCTGAGGGAGGGTGAAGAGGGGATACAGGGAAGTGGAGGTGGACGAGACAGGATGGTTCCTGTTCATCTGCCCAGCTAGGATGGGGGTGGGGGGGATGGAGGTGGGGGACTGTGCTGGGCCCATAGGAATGGCAGCTTTTCCTGAGCACCGGGTGAGGAACAGGGACCCCCACCTGCACCCCATTTTCCACCAGCGCTCCTTGCTTAGTCTCTGTAGTTGGAACGGCGGCTTGGTCATGGGTACTACCAACTGTTTCTTGGCAGAGAAACCCCACCCACCACAGCTTGGTGGTCCTAGTCCTCACCACCACAGAGAGCCAGCAAGGCCTTCAGGAAATCTCCAGAGGTGTCACCCTGGCAGGGACAGAAACAGAACAAGAGTGAGTGAAAAGAGTCCTTGCCTTAACACCCCATCCTAGCGACCATCGGCAGGAACATCTCCACGCGTCTCAGTCACCCACACCAAGACCAGAGAGAGATGCTCTTGACACACACCAAAGCTCACTGGATCGGACCTGGGCAGAACTGGGACACCACCACCTCCTTTTCTGCAGCAACTCAGTCATTCTACCCCACCCTCCGCATCTAACAGGACCTGCAAGGTTCAGATCCTGGAGCCAGCAGTGGCTGCTATTATATGGGGGCTTGAACTCAGGACCTTGCGCTTGCTCACGTACTGCTGTGCCTCTAGTCTAGCTTTTGATGGTTAATTACAGTTGGAATAGTGTGGACTTTTCTGCCTGAGCTGGCTTCAACCCTTGAACCTCCAGGCCTCAGACTCCTAAGTAGCTAGGATTACAGGGGTGAGCCACTGGTGCCTGGCCTCTAATCACTATTTGTTTTTTGTTTATTGTTTTTGCTAGTCCCAGGGCTTGAAATCAGAGCCTGGGCACTGTTTATGAGCTTCTTTTGCTCAAGGCTACCACTCTACCACAGGAATCATGGCACTACTTCCGGCTCTTTCTCTGTATGTGGAACCCAGGACTTCATGCATGCTAGGCAAGCACTCTACCACTAAGCCACATTCCCAGTCCTCTTTTTTTTTGTTTTTTTCTTTTTGTGGGTCGTGGGCCTGAACTCTGGGCCTCGGCGCTGTCCCTCAGCTCTTCAGCTCAAGTCTAGTGGTCTACCACTTGAGCGCCCCTTCCAGTTTTCTGGTGGTTCATTGGAGATAAGAGTCTCCATGGACGTTCCTGCTCAGGCTGGCTTTAAACCATGATCCTCAGATGTCAGCCTCCTGAGTAGCTAGGATGACAGGTGTGAGCCACCAGCACCCGGCTTGTGTGGGCCTCACCCTTGCTAGACAATGTGTTCTGCAATTTGAGCCAGGCCTCCAGCCCCTTTTATGCATTGTTTGTTTGATTTCACACTCTCTGACCTGATTGGCCTGGGCTACCATTCTCCTATTTGGGGGTGATCTCCATCATGGAGGTGACAAGCATGCACTACTGTAGCAAGCTATTGTGTTTCCCTGTAGAAGGAATGACAGGTGTGCACTACTATACTGAGCCACCGGATGAGATGGGAGCCCCCCAAACTTTTTATGCCCGGGCTCTCCTCAACTCATGATTCCCCTTTCCAATCTGCACCTCCCAAGAAACTAGGATTGCAATCCTGAGCCACCTTGGCCAATCTCTTTTTATTGTAAGCAAGCCCTGGCTGTTCTACATAGAAAAGACCCTCCTGAATGAGCTCTCCTTACCTCAATGGCTTGGTGGAGTGACTTGTCATATTTCTCAATGAATTCCCGCCGGATATTGAGCAGGTCGATCTCACTCCGGGACACCATGACCCTGGTGAGGGTCTTCTCATCTGTGCCAGCGCCCTAGTGGAGTTCAGACAAGAGGGAGACACAAGGCAGGAGACACAGAGCTGGGTCATACAAGAAGTAGAAGATGTCTCTATTTTCCCCAAGTAGTCCTGACCCTACCAAAGCCATCCCCCAGACGGACGACCAACTATCTGGAAAGGCAAAAAAGGACCACATCAATTGACTAGTATTCCCTCTAAAACTCAGGCCCAATGGGAACCTCAGAACGTAACCTAGGGTCCTTGTGATTTACTCAGATGAAGTTTGTAGTAGATTAGAGTGTGCCCTCTTAGTTACTAAGTGCTGTCGTTTTTTTAAGAAGAGAGGAAGCTGAGCATAGAGGTGCATGCCTGTAATCCCAGCATTCAGCAAGTAGACTAGTCAGTAGACGGAGAGCTGTAGGGGGCCGACTGGACTATATAGAGATATACATTGGATTATTGTTAAGGGTAGAGCAAAGACTGGAGTGATCTAGTCACAAGAGTGAACTCTGGGGACTTCTGGTAACCACTAGAAGTATGGGGTAATTCCTCCTTTGGAACCTCTAGAAAGAACCAATTGCAAAATGCTTCACGTTGGATTTCTAGTCCCCAGAAGTACGAGTGATAAAGTCTCTGTTGTCAATCAATTTTTTTTTTTTGTCAATCAATTTTTTATGGCAGGAAACAAACACAGGGTCCAAAGAGCAGGTATTGGGCGTAGATGGAGGAGGCAAAGTAAGTTTCTCAGCCTTCATGTTTGAGGCCAGACATTCTTTATAATTAGAAGCTGTGCAATGAAGTTTCCCCCCCTCCCCCAGTACTGGGCTACTTAAGCCATGCTCTTGGCACACCCCCTCCCCCTTTAGTGCTTTAGTTTATTTCAGACAGGGACTCATGCTTTTGCCCAAGCTGGCCTCAGACCGCAATCCTCCCAAGGTATATAGGAATACACCACCATGCCCGGCCTATTATAGGGTTATTTGTCAGCTCTCTCTCCCGACCAGATGCCAACACTCTCCAAGTTGTGACAACTGAAAATATGTCTGGACACTGCCAAATATGCCTTGGGGGCAGAGCACAATCACTTCTGATAGTTGGCAGATGCTGACACTTGACAGGAGAGAGGACACAGCGGCCAGAGAAGTCCTGATCTGGGAGATGACGCCTATCTGTGTCTGGGCGCATGAAAAGTCAGTGCTGGGAGGGAAAAGAAGGAACAAGCCACTCGCCTTACCTTCATGGACTTGTAAAGCTTGTCGGCAAAGAAGAGAGGCTTGTTCTTGACACTCTGAACTGGCGAGAAGAGAGGAACACAGGGAAATTGGTTGTGTGCTGGGGCTCTGGGCATTTCCCCAACTTCCCCAGAGTCTGAAGAACAGTGCCACCCTCAGGTCAGACCAGGGAATGACACCATCATCACTCCCCTCTGCAGTATTAACTTCCACCCTAAACCTGGCTCTTAACAGGGCTGCAACTGGGCTTGCAGATAGGGTACTTGCAAGGTCAGGAGAGGTTTCAGAGGGCACTCATTCCTGGTTAGTGTCAGAGTCTCAAGGGCATCAATGCCTATCATCCCGGTGGGCTTGATCCGGGTCTTCACACTGAAAACCCTGCCTGGGTGCGGATAACTTGTCATCCAGCCATGGAAGGAAAAGTCTGTGATTCTCACTTCTCCAATTAACCACTAAAAAGCCAGAAGTGGAGGGGTGGCAGCACCCATTACCTGAGTTCAAGCCCCAGGACTGGCATTAAAAAAATAAAAGTATGACTCAAGCACTGGTGGCTCATGCCTGTAAATCCTAGCTACAGGAGGCTGAGATCTGAGGATCATGATTTGAAGCCAGCCCAGGCAGGAAAGGCTGTGTGACTCTTATCTCCAATGAACCACTGAAAAAGCCAGAAGGGGAGCTGTGGCTCAAGTGCTGGGTAGCCTTGAACACCAAAGCTGAGGAGCAAGCACCCAGGCCCTGAGTTGAAGCCCCAGGACTGGCACCAAAATATTTTTTAAAAAGTATGTGCATTAATGCAACACATTGTATCAAAAATGAAGTCACAAAGCAATAGTAACTAATACTAATAAAAATGAGTTCAGAGCTGGGAGCCTGTGGGTCATACCTGTAATCCCAGCTACCTGGGAGGCTGAGATCTGAGGATTACGGCCTATGCAGAAAAGTCTGTGAGATTCTTTATCTCTACTTAGCCACTAGAAAACCAGAAGTGGCGCTGTAGCTCAAGTGATAGAGCACTAGCCTTGAGCTGAAGAGCTCAGGGACAGTGCCCAGGCTCCAAATTCAATCTCCATGACTGATAAAAAACAAAACCAAAACCAAAACAACCACAAGAGTGCAGTCTTTGTTCCTATCTACTTACACACCTTCAGGAACAGGGAAAATAAGATCCTTTTCACAGTCAAGAATTTAAATTCGAGAATTTAAATTATGTAAGAGGAGGCCAGCGTAGTCAGGTGCTGAGTGCAGCGTGTGGACGTGTAGTGTGTGTCCTGAGTGAACGCATAGTGTATGTGGTGTGTGCATAGCGTATGCATATTGTGTGTTGATCATGAGGGTCCGGCACCCCCCAAATACCCTTCTTTGTCTTCTTCTTTCACCAGGGAGGCCTGTTTTCTTTTTCTTTTTTGTCAGTCCTGGGGCTTGAACTCAGGGCCTGGGCACTGTCCCTGGGCTTCTTTTGCTCAAGGCTAGCACTCTATCACTTGAGCCACAGCACCATTTCTGGCCTTTTTGGTGGAGGAATCGAACCCAGGCCTTCATGCATGCTAGGCAAGCACTCTACCACTGAGCCACCTTCCCAGCCCGGGAGGCCTGTTTTCTTACCTGCTCCACATGGTGAACAAGTCCTTACCGTGCCCCAGCCATCACCCCCTTGGCTGAGACCTGAGGCAGTATTTACTTCCTCTACCAGTGACTACAGCTCCATTCTTTTAGGGGACCCTGCCATGTTCCCAGTGTCCCTAGCCCCTTCCTCGGTTCCCTCCACTTACCGATAGCCACAAATACATCCCTCACGTCCCCAGACATCTCCTTCTTGATGACATGCTCCACGTCGTAGTTGGTCATCTTGATGAATTCCTGGAAGACTGGTCCCAAGAGAAGCCAGGAGGAGGGAAGAAGTGACCCTCAATTCAGAGAGGGAGGCGATGTTCTCCTTGCCTCCCAGGGCCACCCCCAGAAAGCAGAAAGGGCAGGGGGAATGGCCACAGCCCAGGCTGAGAATTGGGCAGGGACACTGAGAAGGACTTCTGAGTGGACTTCCGGCCAGATCTGTGCCAAACGAGAGCTTCCAGCCCCAGAGCTTTAGCAAGTTCTATGAACTTAGGCTGGTGTAGAAGAACAGGGGTCCTAGTCATCCGGCACTGTGTCTTGAGCTCACTAATGACCTTGGGTGACCCCTGCCTCTGTCTGGACTCTTATCTTCAAGCCAAGCTGCTACAAGTAGTGATGATGATAGGATCTACATTCCTAATGTAAATCATAATGTATAATCATAATATATTATTACACACACACCCATAGACCACACCATGGGTGTGTGTGTAATACATTATATATATTGACACCGATTTCTGGTGGTTTATTGGAGAAAAGAGTCTCACTGACTTTCCTGCCCAGGCTGGCTTTGAATCATAATCCTCAGATCTCAGCCTCCTGAGTAGCTAGGATGACAGGTGTGAGCCACCAGTGCCTGGTCATACCTTTACTTCTGGCCTTTTGCTGCTTAGTTGGAGAGAAAGAGTCTTATGGATTTGTCTGCCTGGGCTGGCTTTGATCTGGGATTTTCAGATTTCCCAAGTAGCCAGGGTAACATGCATGAGATTCTGGCATCCGGCTTCTATTGCAGTTTTTACATCCTAACAACAATCATTCAAGGCATAACTAAAATCCCAATTCCTAGGTAAGGGAACGGAGGCAGAGATCTGGGAACTTGCCTAAGCTGCAGAGTAAGTAAGGGAATTCATCGAGACTCTCTTTTCTGTTGGCCATCATGTTAAAGCACCTTTCATACAGAAAGAGGTCAGGCAAATGCATAAACTACCTTTGTGGAAAGGGAATTTTGCAATTGGGCCAGTGCTACAGCCATGCACCTGTGTGTGTGTGTGTGTGTGTGTGTGTGTGTGTGTGTGTGTGTGTGTGTGTGTGTGTGTGTGTGTGTGTGTGTGTGTGTGTGTGTGTGTGTGTGTGTGTGTGTGTGTGTGTGTGGCAACATTTGATTCAGGGACTCGTGGTTCTTTGCCATCACTGGCTGCCCACGCTGCCTTGCTCCTGAGAGGCATCACCCAGAGATCTTTTCCCACTGTACCCCAGAATCCTTCTCAACATAGCAGTATTGGCAGCTACACCAGAGGCTCATCATCCCCCCCCCCCCCCCCCCCCGCCTCCCCAACAGGCGAGGGGAACTGGCTGAAGGCTGCAGATGTGTCAGGACTCTGGAGATCTACTGTCAGCCATGACTCTCCACATCTGGTCTAAGAGGAGGGATTCGGCTCATTGGCTGCCCCTCATCGCGAGCTAAAGAGACCCAGGTCAGATCTGGGGCTCTGGTTGCTGAACCGGAAGTGGAGGGGTGGGGTGAGGTCTCACCTCTTCGAAGGTGGGGATAGCTGCGGGTGCACAGGACCGTCATGAACCGCGTCTCCAAGGAAGTTTTGTCTCCGCTGGGAGTGTCGGCGATCTCCTGCAGAAACCACAAGTCTGGGCATCATCTCTTTTCTTGCAGTCAGAAGCGGGGCTAATCCAGTCATCTGGAGGGGGGGCTGGGGCTGCCCCCACTTCTTCCCTCATCCTCTAGCAGTAGCCACCCACCCCAAACTATTGTTCCTGGAGACCCTGAGGATATGCATAGAAGGGCCTGGCTCTGGGACTGGCACTGGGCAAATCTGCCACTGGACAGAAGCTAGGAGTCCTTCCCTCCCTCCCTCCCTCCCTCCCGCTGTCTGAAAGCCCCTCTGGGAACTATGAATGGCATGCAAGCAGAAATGGCCTTGCCAGTGTTTCCTCAAGGGTCAACATGTCAAACGTATATCCAGGACACGTTCCTAAGTTCCCACAATTATATTCTAACCAGCTATGATGCCATCCATATCAACTTATTTTATTTATTTATTTTTGTGCAGGTACTGGGACTTGAACTCCAGGGTCTGGATACTCCCTTAGCTTTTTTTTTTCTTTTTTTTTCTGTCATGGGGCTTGAACTCTGGGCCTGGGCGCTGTCCCTCAGCTCTTCAGCTCAAGGTGAGCGCTCTACCACTTGAGCCACGGCAACACTTCCGGTTTTCTGGTGGTTCATTGGAGATAAGAGTCTCAGGGACTTTCCTGCACAGGCTAGCTTTGAACCGTGATCTTCAGATCTCAGCCTCCAGAGTAGCTAGGATTACAGGCACGAGTCACTGGTGTTGGCTCCCTTAGTTTTTTTTTTTCTTTTAAGTCAAGGCTGGAGCTCTACCGCTTGTTACCACAGCTCCAGTTCCAGTTCATTTTTGGTGGTTCACTGGAGGTAAGAGTCACATAGACTTTCCTGTCCAAGCTGGCTTCAAATGCTGATCCTCAGCTCCCAGTCTCCTAGTAGCTAGGATTACAGGCATGAGCCACCGTGTCTGCCTCTGTATCAATTTTAATTGCCTTTATAATAATGTAGTTTAGATTAGGGGGGAAAATGAGTTGATTTGAAGAAAACCATCATAGCTGGTACTTACATTGCATAAATCATGCCTAGGATAATGTGTGGGAAATACTTGTCTGGCCTGTTTTTTTTGTTTTGTTTTTTTAGCAGTGGGGTCCTTAAGGGGCTCTGAAGGGGGGAGAGAGAGAAGCCGAGGAGCAATTCCTCCACATTCCTGCACAACTCTACCCAGCCCAGAAGCACAGACAGACTTTGCTCAGAGAAGCTATAAAACCCACACGAACACCAGGACACTCACCAAGATCTCAGCGGCCACCTGAGAGCGGGGGAGGAGAGAGAGGAGGGAGAGAGAGGGAAGGCAAGAGTCAGAGAAGGCCTGAGAGGTTGGGATTGGGGTGATGGGTGGGGGCAGAGGACCCTAGAGACCAGACCCTAAGATACCTCAAAACTGTAATGGCAGGGAGGGAAAAATAACTCGGGGTTAGACTCAAAGGGTAAGACAGATAGGGAATAATGAAAAGTGTATCCACCTAAAGGATAAGAGAAAGCGCTAGAAACAGGACCCGCACTCTGTATCAAGAGCAGGCTCCAGACCTATTTGCTTGTCATAAAACTAAGAGAAATAAATTTCATCGTGTTGGCCACTGGTAGCTCATGCCTGTAATCCCAGCTACTCAGGAGGCTGAGATCTGAGGATTGTGATCTAGCTCAGGCAGAAAAGATCATGAGATTCTATCACGGGCCAACAGCAAAATGTCAGACTGGAGACCTGGCTCAAATGGTAGAGCATCAGGTGTCAGGGAAAATGCCAAGTATGAGCATGAGGCCCTGAGTTCAATCCCCTGATACCCTGGGCCCTTGGTATATTGAATTGGAAGGGGCAGGAGAGAAACTGTAATCCTTATTTTGTTGGCCATGGGGCCTGAACTCTAGCCTCAGCTCTTCAGCTCAAGGCTAGCACTCTAACACTTGAGCCACTGCCCCACTTCTGGCTTTTTCTGCTTATGTGGTACTGAGGAATCGAACCCAGGGCCTCATGCATGCAAGGCAAGCACTCTACCACTGAGCCACCTTCCATCCAGCCTATGAGATAACTATTATGTCTCTCAAACCAGGTAGGAAGCAAGACAACTGAGGCCTGGGAGTCACCCAGCCAATCAGCAGAGCCAGGAAAGGCAAGGTTGATTTTAATGGTGGCATTTTCCACAGCACCCCCTGTGGCTAAAACACTGTATTTCACTAGGGAAATAGCTGTTATTGGAAATTACCAGGAACAAATCCAGATGCCTTCATTTGGCAGGGACTGCCTCCAACCTTTGCTTTCTGCCCAGAGCACTTATTCTCTTAGGTGAACTGAAACCCCCGTCTTACTGTTGGTGCGTGAATGCCTAGAGTCCTATATAGGGTATCATGTCCAGTTACATTAGATCTAGCTTCTACATATGAGAGAAAACATGCACCATTGGTCTCTCAGCTTGGCTTACCTCACTTACATGATTTGTTCTAGATCCATCCATTTCCCTGCAAATGACATGATCTTATTCTTTCTAATGGATGAGAAAAATTCCATTGTGTATCGGTACTACATTTTATTAATATACTTATCTGTTGTAGGGCATCTGGGCTGTTTCCATCACTTGGCTGTTGTGAATAGTGCAGCAATGAACATGGGTGTGCAAGTGTCTTTACCAGTAACCTGACTTGCAATGATCTGGGTAGATGTCCAAGAGTGGTATGGCTGGGCCATAGGGAAGTTCTATGTTTAAGCTTTTGGTTTTTGATCAATTGTGGGGCTTGAACTCAGGGCTTGGATGCTGTCCGTGAGCTCTTTTTATTCAAGAGGACTAGTACTCTTCTACTTTGAGCTACAGCACCACTTCTGGTTTTTGGTGGTTAATTGCAGGTAATAGTTTTGCTGGCTGGCATCAAACCACCATCCTTAGATCTTAGCCTCTTGAGTAGCTAGGATTACAAGCGTGAGCCACCAGCACCCAGCCTATTTTTTTTTTTTTTTGAGGAACATCCAAGCCTCCTTCCAGAGAGGTTGTACTAGTTTACATTTCCCTAGGTTTTATTTCATTTTTACTCATTTATTTTTGTTATTTTGCCAGTCCTGGGGCTTAAACTCAGGGCCTGGACACTGTCCCTGAGCTTCTTTCGCTCAAGACTAGCACTCTACCACTTGAGTCACAGCACCACTTCTGGCCTTTTCTGTGTATGTGGTACTGAGGAATCAAGCCCAGGTTTTCATGCATGCTAGGCAAGCACTCTATCATTAAGCCACATTGCCAGCCCACTGGTTTTATTTATTTATTTATTTATTTGTTTATTTATTTGTCAGTCTTGGGGCTTGAACTCTAGGCCTGGGCACTGTCCCTAAGCTTTTCAGCTCTACCACTCTGAGCCACAACATTGCTTCTGGTTTTCTGGTGGTTAATTGAAACTTTTCTGCCTGGGCTGGCTTCGAAACCTGATCCTCAGATCTCAGCCTTCTAAGTAGGTAGGATTACAAGCGTGAGCCCCTGGCACCCAGCTTGGTTTTATTTTATAAGCTAACAGTTTACTGCAATCTCCTTCTTATCGTATAAACTGTCAATGTCTATGCAAATTTAAATACACAATGCATTTCATTAATTACATCACTAGGGATGTGCCCTAAGGTATGTAATGAGCGTAAGAGAGTGAATGAAATACAAGGTTGCTCTTGTAGCTTTCTCCGTAGCAGAGAACAATGAGAAACAGACTGTGGTTTCTCTGATCAATGGAACAATCTTTGCAGATTAGACAGGGCTGGGGTGGAGCTCAGTGGTAGAGCAGGTGCTTAGCACAAGAAGATCCTCGGTGGCTGGCAATGTGGCTTAGTGGTAGAGTGCTTGCCTAGCATGCATGAAGCCCTGGGTTCGATTCCTCAGTACCACATAAACAGAAAAAGCTGGAAGTATTGCTGTGGGTCAAGTGGTAGAGTGCTAGCCTTGAGCAAAAGAAGCTCAGGGACAGGAAAAAAGAGAAAAATGAGATGATCAGCCTCATTTGACATAAGTTATATAAAAAAGAAGAGCAAGGTGTTTATGTGTATCACCCTAGCTATTCAGGAAGCACAGACATGGAGGATCATCATCTGAATCAGCCGAGGGAGACAAGTCTGCAAGACTCCATTTCCAGAAAAAAAAACAGGGCTGGAGGCATGGCTTAAGTAGTACAGCACCAGCCAAACGAGCAAGCTAAGAAAGTACAAAGTCTTGAATGAGGGGAGTAAAGGCATACATGTTGTGTTTATCAGTATTCCTTTAATCTGGATTTTTAAAAAAGCCACTCATACTTATTAGGAAGTACGTCAGAAATTGTGAGGAAGTGGTTGACCATGAGAATGTGGATAGACCAATCTGTCTGTCTGCCTATCTATCTATCTGTCTGACTGTCTGTCTATCTGATTGATCTTCAGTAGAAAAACAACTTCATTACTATATGTCAAGATATTAAAAAGTTATTAGATGGTGGATTTTTTCTTTTTTTCCATTTCCTATAGCTTCTATAAAGAACACGTATTACTTGTAAAAAAAAAAATTTCTAGGTGTAAGAAAATGGGTGTACACAGAGATTTGGGGCCAGCAGCCTAGCCTGGGAAGCAGCTGAGTCAGGCAGGGCTCTGGCTGCTCAAGGGTCCCTTGGCTGCTTCCAGAAGGTTCTCTCTCTCTCCCCTTCCCTTCTTTCTGCAAACCAGCTGCCAAGAGAGTCCTTCCCCCTGCCCCTCCCAGTGTCCACTGCAAATAGCCTCATAAGCAGACCAGGTACCAGGCACAAGCATTCCCTGGGAGATGACTTTGGGAGTGGAGGATGGATTTTTGGGTAACATCGAAGATCAAAGCCCTCTCCCCTCACCCCCATGGAACCATGAAGCCACTCATGATGACATTCAACGATCATCTCTGAATGAGTGCATGCAATTGGTTTGGGCAAGTTACTGAGGGTATGGCTGGGCTCCCAGGCTAGTTCCCACAAACACACCGACAATGCCACTGGAATAGCACACCTAGTATAATCCTGCAGTTGTGACACTATTCCCAAGCCAGGGCTGGGCCCCTGGACAACAGCTACCCGGCCTGGAAATTGCAGAGGATAGCACGCAGTAATAAGAAGACAGGCAAGCCGGAGGGCCAATCAAACCAAAGCTATCTAGAAACCTCAGATAGGAAAGGAGCTTCAGTAAAGAGAGGAGAAGATGATGATGATGGCGATGATGATGAAGATGTATGCTAGTACTGAAGCTTGAACTCAGGGCCTGGACATTGTCCTTTAGCTTTTTTTGCTCAAGACTAGTGTTCTATCACTTGAGCCACACCTTCACTTCTGGCTTTTTTGCTGTTGTTGATCATGGGGCTTGAACTCAGGGCCTGGATGTTGACCCTGAGCTTTTTCTTTTCTTTTTTTTTTTGGGTCCGGTCGTGGGGCCTGAACTCTGGGCCTGGACACTGTCCCTCAGCTCTTCAGCTCAAGGCTAGCGCTCTATCACTTGAGCCACAGCGCCACTTCCGGCTTTTTTCTTTTTTGCTTATGTGGTGCTAAGGAATCGAACCCAGGACCTCATGCATGCAAGGCAAGCGCTCTTCCACTGAGCCACCTTCTCAGCCCTACCCTGAGCTTTTTCCACTCAAGACTAGGGCTCTATCACTTACTTTGAGCCATAACACCACTTCCGGCTTTCAAATGGTTAATTGGAGATAAGAGTCTCATGGACTTTCCTGCCCTGGCTGGCTTTGAGCTTTGATCCTCATATCTCAGCCTCCTGAGTAGCTAGGATGACAGGTGTGAGCCATCAGCACACGGCTGGGAAATTTAATTACTAATATATAGAATGATCTTCGTGCCCTAGTCAGTCTATTGTAATTAGTTTTGTACTTGTGGGGGCGTGGCTAGGAATTTTATAGCTGAGATGCAGAGCTGGTAGCAGAGCCTGTTGGCCTCTTTCCCCCATCTATAAACTGTGAAGGAAGCTGGCTGGATTCACACTTGGCAGGATCTATGCCCAAACCCTGGATACAGCACCTTTACCAGCAGTGAGGACCAATCAGGCAGAAGAGATGGGAGATCCAGGCCTGGGATGAAGGCCCATAGGGACCAGACAGATGGTCTCAGGGGAGTTAGCACAGCCATGCAGATGCTCAGGAAAAAATGAATTTGGGGTTGTCCCGCCTCCATGAGAAGCCATTTCCAGATCTGTGCTGCTTGTCCAAAGCAGCAGGGCAGACGCAGACAGAGCAGATCAAGTGACCGCAGCACAGCCCCTCCTGCAGTGGTCAACGATGATCTACCGAGTTCTGAGCATGCGCCATGAGAAAACATTGCAAGCACGACACCACCAGCAGCTGTCAGGAACTTGCTTTCTAGGCTTCTCCCAGGACTCGCTTAGCCCTTGGTCGGGTTTTACAGAAAATAAAACTAGACTTTCAGTTACTAAGGCCTTTTCTTCAGCAACATCGGCTGAGACCAGCTCCCTCTAGACTCAGCTCAAGCTGGACCAGGAATTTGCTATATGATCTTTAGTTTTGTTTGTTTTTGTTGGTGGTGGGGCTTGAACTCTAGGCCTGGGTGCTATCCCTGAGCTCTTCAGCTCAAGCCTAATGCTCTACCACTTTAAGCCACAGCACCACTTCTGGTTTTCTGGTGGTTCATTGGAGATAAGAGTCTCATTGACTTTCCTGCCCTGGCTGGCTTTGAACTGTCATCCTCAGATCTCAGCCTCCTGAGTAGCTAGGATTACAGGCATGAGCCACCAGCGCACAGCAAGCTATATGACTTTTAGAAGTTACCTGCCTTCTTCCTTGACTGCCTTTCTCCCCAGGTTTCATCTGGATGACCTATGAATCTCCTATTTTTTTTGGGGGGGGGGAGGAAGGAGGGGGTGGAGGCTCCTACCATTCATGTGGGCAATGCCAGTCAAACCAGTACCATCAGTGAAAATCTCATTCTGTAAATCCTTACATCTCACATCTAAGGATGGAGAAGGCTTAGCAACCACCAATCAAACCAGATCTGCTCTGTCAGGGACACAGACACACACACATGCACACACACACACACACACACACACACACACTCACATCTAAGGATGGAGAAGGCTTAGCAACCACCAATCAAACCAGATCTGCTCTGTCAGGGACACACACACACACACACACACACACACACACACACACACACACACACACACACCACACATATATACACACCACACACACACCAGGAGCCACATCTCAGAGGGGTGGATGGAAGTCTTACCTGGGCATCTTCCCGGGCCTGGTCCCGATCTTCTCCTCCCTCCTCTCGGTTCCCCTGCAGCAAGATCAATGAGCAGTGAGTCCCAGAAAATCCCCACCTGCTCTGCCTGCCCTACCACCACTACCACAGGTCCTGCTCAATCACATCACCTCCTGGAAGCCACTCCCTCACAGGAAGCCTATGGACAATGCTGCCTCCTAGTGGCCAGTGGCATAGTGAGCTCTCCACCAGCGGAGGAGGCCTTAGTGCTCAGATTATGGAAACTGGATACAAATACAAAGCTTTCGGGCTGGGAAGGTGGCTTAGTGGTAGAGTGCTTGCCTCCCACGCATGAAGCCCTGGGTTCCATTCCTCAGCACCACATAAACAGAAAAAAAGCCGGAAGTGGCACTGTGGCTCAAGTGGTAGAGTGCTCGCCTTGAGCTGAAGAGCTGAGGGACAGCGCCCAGGCCCTGAGTTCGAGCCCCACAATGGACCAAAACAAAAAAAAGGACCAGGATGGGTGGCAGGACTGAAAAGGCCAGTGGGGAATACCCTCTCTCCCACCCTGTGACCCTTCCTCTCTTCCAGATATGGATCCATGCACTCACTCACCGTGGCCAGAGAGATGAGGATCCTCCTGAAGTGCCCGGATGTGTCAGAGCTCAAGGCATCTTCCAGGGACTTGTGATAGTCTAAGAGAGAGAAAGGAGAGATGGTCAGCTGCTGGCAAAAGAAGACTTGGTGGTGGTGGTTTGTGGTGGGAGATCTTCAGACTTGGGGCAGGAAAGTGTTAGAGGTGAGGAGGTGTTTCTAGCCAGATTGGTGTGTGTGTGTATGTATGTGTGTGTGTGTGTTGGTCTTGTGGCTTGAACTCTGGGTTTGGGTGCTGTCCCTGCACTCTTCAGATCAAGGCTAATGCTCTACCGCTTGAGCCACAGCGCCACTTCCAGTTTTCTGGTGGTTTATTGGAGATAAGAGTCTCACAGACTTTCCTGTCCAGGCTGATTTTGAACCGTGATCCTCAGATCTCAGCCTCCTGAGTAGTTAGGATTACAGACCTGAGCCCCAGCCCCACTCCCAGCCATTTGCTGGTTAACTGAAGATGAGAGGCTCATGGACTTTCCTGCCCTGGCCGGCTCATAGTGGGCTGGGACATTCTCTCTTCCCAGGTATTCTTCTAAGAACGTTGGGCCTTGGTCTTTTCTGGGCCACTTCTGTCTTTTCCCTAGACACCAGGCTAGGAGGCCCAAGGGGCTTTCCAAAGCCTCGTGGACTATGGGAAAGGGGACTAGCAGGATCTGAGGGGCAAGTTAAAGGCTGAGGCTAAAAGTTGGGGACCCTGGCTCTCCTGCCACCCACTCCTGACTAGCAGCTTGCAGCCCAGACCCCCCACACTTACCCTCCTTGTAGGCCTCGTTGATGGCCCGGATTTCTGCGTTGTTCCGAGTGGCTAGAATTTCAATGAGAGCCTTTTCATCTGTGCCAGCGCCCTAGAACATTCGGCCAAAAGCCCACCTCAGCCTGGGTCTCGAGGGGTACCTGTGTCCCTCCCCCCAGCTCCCAAACAGCCTGGATGCCATCCCTTTGGTGCCCACGCTCTACCTCCATGGCCTTCTTCAACTGCTTGGCATCATAATGGGCAGGAGGCATCATGAGTCCCAGAATCAGCCTTGCCAGGTCTCCGGAGATCTCAGACTTGAGGTCAGCCATTAAGTCCTGCCAAAGAGCACAGCCCAAGGTCAAGCCCACACCAGCACTGGCCCATGGATGACCCAGGGCAGGGAGGAGATTTGTAATGAGGACGGGAGACAGTAGGGAGGGACCTAGGTCTCTTTGCTGATAGACTTTGCTGGTGGACTTCCTACTTATAAGAATGCAAAGAGGGTGTGGTGGGGAGCCAGTGAAGAGGCAGATCTGAGCCAGGCTTTAGTGGCTCATACCTATCATTCCAGCTACTTCGGAGGCTGAGATCTGAGGATTGAGGTTCAAAGCCAGCCAGGGCAGGAAAGCCTGTGAGACTCTTATCTCCACTGAACCAGCCAAAAGCTGGAAGTAGAGCTGTGGCTCAATCGGTAAAATGCCATTCTTGAGTGAAAAAAAGCTAAGGGATATATTGCCCAGGCCCTGAATTCAAGATCCAGATCCAGAACTGAATTCAAGCACAAAGGTGGGGGGGGGGTGCAGGGAGAGGGTAGATCTGCTTTCCTTAGAGGCCAGGCTGAAACCTCACACCATTTTTATCTGGGGATCTCATCAGCCTATACCAGATGCTACCAAGGGTGCCATAATCACCAATAATGCTGGGACCTAGAAGCCAGCTCTCCTTATGCAGAAGGTCTAGGGCTTCAAAGTGCTGCATGCACTAGCTTCCATCCCCCCTCCAGGCCCCTGACTCTACCCAGCCACCCTGCACAAGTGTCACAGATCACAAGGAATTGGGAGAACGCAGAAGCACACCTGTTTGGCAGCCCAAACCCAAGCGCTGGAGATATTCCAAGATCCCACATCTGCATGAGGCTCGGAAGACCCCTCCCCCCTTGCCTAGCTGTGCAGAGGCTGAAGTGGCAACCTCCTCTGGAGGTTGTATGGACACAAGGCCCAGGGTCCAGGAACAGCCCTTACCCGGCCAAAGTGAGACTTGAAGGTCTGCCGGATCTGCTGCCGCTGAGCGTTGCTGCGATGCGTGATGATGTCGATGATGGTGGCTTCGTCGGTTCCTGAGTCACCAAAGTCACAGGCCTCAGAGGAAGGCCTGTGGTTCTGCCTCCCTGATCGGCCTCCTTCCCCACCCCGCTTCTCCCTCCTCCCACTGACAGTCGCCATCAACCCTAGGGTAGAAGCTGGATCAGCAGCTATGTGCCCTGAGCTCCTGCGGGCACCGTGCCGCTGACTCAAGTCACTGATTCTCAGGACTGCTTGCTGCCACCTATGTCACTGCTTTGGCAAAAAGAGACACCTTGGAGGCAGAGATCACTGGGTTGAGAGGCGCGTTCCAGTCCCAGCTTTGGCAATGGCTGGCTATCTTGGGCAAAGTCTCTCTCTTTCTGAACCTGTTTCCACACTTAGGGATTTTTTTTGCCAGTCCTTGGGCTTGAACTCAGGGCCGAGGCCTGTCCCTGAGCCTCTGTGGGCTCAAGGCTAGTGCTCTACCACTTGAGCCACAGCACCACTTCTGGCTTTTTCTGTATATGTGGTACTGAGGAATAGAACCCAGGGCCTCATGCATGCAAGGCAAGCCCTCTACCACTGAGCCACCTTCCCAGGCTCCCCCCAACCCCCAGCCCCATGAGACTCTTATCTCCAATGAACCACCAGAAAACTGGAAGTGGCGCTGTGGCTCAAGCAGTAGCACTCCTTTGAGCTGAAGAGCTAGGGGACAGTGTCCAGACCCAGAGTTCAAGCCTCATGACCAGCAAAAAAACACACACAAAAAAAACAGGGCTGGGAAGGTGGCTCAGTGGTAGAGCGCTTGCCTTGCATGCATGAGGCCCTGGGTTGGATTCCTCAGCACCACATAAGCAAAAAGAAAAAAGCCGGAAGTGGCGCTGTGGCTCAAGGGGTAGAGCTCTAGCCTTGAGCTGAAGAGCTGAGGGACAGAGCCCAGGCTCAGAGTTCAGGCCGCCTTGAGGGATTGGCCAGCAGGGGGTGCTCTTGCTCCAAGCCTGGAATCTGAAGACCAGGATCATTTTACACAGGGTTTGGAAACTGAGACCAGACTCATTTTTACACATGGGACAATTGAGACCCAGACTCACTTCAGAGCTTGCCCAAAGCCATACAGTGGGCTAGCAACAAAGTCAGGGCATGAACTCAAGTTCTATGGCCACACACACACACACACACACACACACACACACACACATACACCAGCCTACTTGCTCCCAAGAGGGCTGGGCACAACTTGGTTCAAACTCTCCTGATGCCCCTCTTTCCTGTCTGATGGAGCCTGGAGGCTTTCCAAGAGAGGGAAGATTCAGTCTAGAGTCTTCCTTGTCCTGTGGACCCTAGTAAGAGGCCTCGGCCCTCCCCTTGGCCCAGCCCAGTGCCAAACCCACCACCCAGGAGCAGCCACCCCCAGCTCTCAGGCCCCCCCTTACCAATTCCCTTCATGGCTTTCCGCAGGGCTTTGGCATCTGCGTCGGGGTTGAAATCATCAGCCGGGCGCACGGTTCCCTTCAGCTGTGAGAAGCAGAGAAGCCCTCAGGAGGTGTCTACAGGCCAGGCTCCCCAGCCAGGAGCTGGCCAAGATCTGAGCATGCGCAAGGGAAGAGGCTTTCCACACAAGCCCTGAACCAAGCAGCCTGGAGGAGGAGGCAGGAAGAAGATGCGGAAGACAGACCCTGGCCTACAGCTGAGACATGAGAGACTTCAGGCCTGGGAGCAGGGCCAGCGCTGGTCAAGGGTAAGTGGCCAGCTGGAGGCTGGAGGACTCAGCTCTGGCCCACAGTTCCCTGCGGCTGCTCATTCCACTGGCCCACCCCCACCATTCATCAGAATCTCATCCTGTCTCCCTCCCCCAACTACTTGATGGAAAGCTACTGTCCCTAAAAAGGCAGCCAAGGTGTTCTGAAATGGCATTCAACGGCCTTCACGTCGTTCTCTATATTTGTTATTTCTCAATGCGTAGCAAGCTCAGCTTGGTTACTTTGTCAAACACATTCATTTTGGAGCCATCTTTTTCTTTTTGGGTATTGGGGATCTAATGAAGGGCTTGTGCCCCCTAAGGAGCTACATCCTCAGCGCTAACATATCCATTATAAAGGACCTTTTTTTTTTTTTGCCAGTCCTGGGACTTGAACTTAGGACCTGGGCACTGTCTTTATTGCTCAAGGCTAGCATTCTACCACTTGAGCCACAGTGCCACTTCTGGCTTTTTCTGTGTATGTGGTACTGTGGAATCGAACCCGGGGCTTCATGCATGCTAGGCAAGCACTCTACCACTAAGCCATATTCCCAGGCCTCTCAAGGACAATTTAAAGGGTAAGTTTTTGTCTGTTTTATCCTTTGATATATCCTATTGTGTTTACCACAGTACCTAACACATAACAGGCACTCAGGAAATATTTGTCCCTGAACGGATGCAAAAACACTTATTTGACGATCATGAGTTAGAAAGTTGATATTGTGGAGCTGGGAAGGTGGCTCAGTGGTAGAGCGCTTGCCTTGCATGCATGAGGCCCTGGGTTCGATTCCTCAGCACCACATAAGCAAAAAGAAAAAAGCCGGAAGTGGTGCTGTGGCTCAAGTGGTAGAGCGCTAGCCTTGAGCTGAAGAGCTGAGGGACAGCGCCCAGGCCCAGAGTTCAGGCCCCAAGACTGGACCCCCCCCAAAAAAAAAAAAGAAAAAAGAAAGTGGTATTGTATCATAAGCAAAGGTAATAAAAAATATACTAAATGTTAAAAAAAAGAAAAGTAAGAAAAACAAAAATTTCAGGTTAAATATCACCATGTTTTAACAAGATGTCCTCGCTTGTTAAAAAGCTGTGAGCTTGTGAACTTGACCGGATGAAGGTGCTTCACAACAGTTGAAATCCTTAGCCACTCAGCAGGCTGAGATCTGAGGATCCTGGTTCAAAGCCAGCCCAGGCAGGAAAGTCCAGGAGACTCTCTATCGCCAATAAACCAGCAGACAGCTGGAAGTGGAACTGTGGCTCAGTCCTGAGTGAAAAAGCTAAGGGACAGAGCCCAAGCCCTGAGTGTAAGGCCCACTACCAGCGCATGTGCACACCTACACACACACATGGAGCTGTGAACCTAAAACCAGCTCCTTTCGCTCCTCAGTTGTTTATGGGTAAGGACAACCAACAGGGGTGGCAACAAGCTGAGGTGGTATCTGTGTCACCTCAGGAAGGTGGTGAGACTAAAGATCGGCCTTGTCACTCTGCAAGGCTTCATGTTTGATGCTGTGGAATGCCCTGACCGCTACACTAAACTTCATTCCTCGCACGACAGAGGCCATCAATTCAGGGAAATCAGGACATCAGAGCTCCGAGCCCCCAAGCCACCAACCCTGCCCTGTTTTAAGTACTAGGGTTTGAACTCAGAGCCTTCCCACATGAGCATGCCCCCAGACCTCTAAGCCTCTCATTTTTAAAGATGCAGACGTAGAGGGCCAGAGACAGGTAGAAACCTGGCAAAGGGCGCACAGCCAAAAGCAGAGAGGATCCGAGGGCCCCAACTTCTTATGTGGATCAAGTATCGGCAATGTCTTTCCCCAAGTGTTTCTGTGCAACCATTCCTCCCTGTCCTCCGTGGAGTGGACCCTGGGTGTCCAATGCATGCACAGCCCAACTGTGGGCTCAGAATGGGGTTAGGCCCCTGCTGTGGAACTAGCCAGGTGTCCATTCAAGCCAGGCTTGTTAGTAGGGAGGGGGCCAGAGCACTTCCCAGGGCGTGTGAGAGTCAGTGCAGGAATCATGGGATGCCTCCTCTGGGTGGCTGCCCACCCAAGTTGATGCTCTGAGAGAGGGAGGAAACAAGCTTCAGACGCGAGAGCTGCTTTCTCAGGTTGGCCTCCAGGGGGCAGCTGGGAGCCAACCCGAGCAGCAGGGAGTGAAGGAAGCACAGGACAGTGGAAGCTGCCAGTGAAGAGGTCAAGCAGGAGGTGGGGAGGGTCTGACCTCTACTCGGGACACTGCACTAAGCTCCCACATCTGATAGGCCACCTGCGCTGCTTCCGGGAAGAACTGGCCAGCAGCACTGGAATGGAGGGGGTTGGGAGAGGATGGGAGGGAACGTCATCAAGGGCCACAGCTCTCCACGCATCTGACACACACCGATGACTCTCCAATACACACGCACACCAATACATACACTTCAATACACATCCAATATACACGCCCATGCCAACACACACGCCAACACACATATACACTAACACACACGCCAACACACGCATTTCAATACACATCCAACACACATCCACACCAACACACATACCAACACATGCATTTCAATACATACCCAACACACATCCACACCAACACACATCCACACCAACACACATACCAATATACACATGTACCATTACACATACCAACGCACATACCAGTACATACATTTCAATAGACACCCAACACACATGCCCACGCGAACACACACACCAACACACATACACACCAACCCATACTAACACACATACACACCAACACACACTAACACATGCATTCCAATACATGTCTAACATACAGGCCACACATGTCAACACACATACACACCCATATACATACATACCAACACAGCTAACTTACATACACACCAAGACACAAACCAACATATATATTTCAATATGCACCCAGTACACAGGCCCATACCAATACACATACCAACAGATAAACCCCAACACCCCCAACATATACCCTAACACACATACAATATGCACAAACAAACACACACACACCCTAACATATATACCTCTTATATCCCAACACATAGCAACAGATACACTCCAACACACAGACCAAAATGTGTACTACAAGATATACTCAACACCCACACACCAACATATAAATACCAACAACACCAAAACATACCCCAACATGTATATATACCCCAACACACAATATATACAAACCAACACACACACTCTAACATGTAACGCCCCAACACATACCCCAACACAATCAACATACATTCCAACACATACACACATGCACACCATGCACACATGGCTGTCTGGCTTTTTCTCCAACCTGGGCCGGCTGACCAGAGCCCTCCCTCCATCCCGAAGATTCTTTGCCCTCTCCTAAGCTGAACCTCCCAGCAGCCTTGTTTTCCCCAGAAGCCAGTGCGCCAGGATCTTCCAGTGAGGGCCCCCAACTCCCTCCCGGGTGCCAGCAACTCTGTGGCCCAGATTCCCTGCCCCTGTGGCACCTTCCACACTGACAGGATGCTCTCCTGACCTTTCCTGGACATTCCACAACTGAGCACCCACAATTCTCTTTCCCCAAATTTGGTCAAGTCATGGGGACCAATTTAATCTTTGGGGAAGAGGCCTCTGTGGGGCCCGCCCCCCTCTCCTCCTATGCCACAAAAGTGCTCTCAGTCACACAGATGAACTCGCGTTCTTTCTCGCCTCCAGGACTTCTGTGAAAACTCCCCTGAAAGCCAGCTGCTGTCACCTGTCACCTGTCCCTTCCTCTTGGGTCTCACTCTCAGACCCCCCCCTCCCCATACCCTTCCCCCTCCCCATACCCTTCCCCATACCCCTCTCCCTCCCCTCCCCCCTGCTCCAGGCCATGCTGCCATGTGCACGGGACCTACAGGCTCTCCTCACCCGCAGTCCATCCTGGGTGAGGGTCCCACGGGAGTTTCCCAATGGGGCCACCATAGGAAGGCTCATCAAGCATACAAATATGTAAATCAGGGGAGTGGGCGGGGCCACAAAGTAAATGGGCGGAGCCACAAAGATGCTACAAAGTAGCAGGGCCTGGATCCCCATAGTCTGTTTTCTGGTCCAAACCCCAGACTGACTTTCCAAGTTTTCAAGACATCAACACGCATGGAAGATCACCCTCATATCCAGACGCACAGAGCCACAAGCTCCATAGACACTGGCAAGGACATCTTTCACCTGCAGGGCTGTCGCGTCTCATTCGATCCACTCATCCTCCACCAGGATGAAGGCTAGGAGAGGCCCAGCTACTTCCTCCTGCCGGGGCGTGGGACTACTTACTCATCATCTCCTCCGCACAGCTTTAGCAGAGCCTTCTTGTACTCCCCAGAGGTATCGTTCTGGGTAAAGAGAGAAAAGAAGATAACTTCCAACCGGGCCCTGAGCATCTCCCAGACAAGAAGAAAAGGTTCTGCATAGCCCAAACACTGGAAAGCTCCACAGTCTTCCCTACCAGCCCTGCTCCTCCTCCTGTCTGGATGTGGCAGAGACTTCTAAATAGTGGTGTGTGTCTCCAGTTTGTTTGTTTATTTGCCAGTCCTGAGGCTTGAATTCAGGACCTGGGCACTGTCCCAAGCTTCTTTTGCTCAAGGCTACCACTTGAGCCTCAGTGCCACTTCCAGTTTTTTCTGTGTATGTGACACTGAGGAATCGAACCCAGGCCTTCATGCATGCTAGACAAGCACTCTACCACTAAGCCACATTCCTAGCCCTCTACTCAACACAAAATAAAAAGGAAGGAGGGAGAGAGGAGGGAGAGGCGGAAGGAAAGAAGGAAGGAAGGAGGGAGGGAGGGAGGGAAGGAAGGAAAGATCTAACTTTACGGCTTCTGGAAAAGCCAAGGCCTCAAGGGCCGTCATCACTACGTTCTTAGCGACCACACCTTGTAGGAGACAGAATCTCGCTGCCCTTGGAATGATGGGGGCTTCATGCAGTGGCCCTGCCTCCCTTTTAGCTCTGCCTCTCCCAAGCACCCCTGAACTTGAACTCCCTTGAGCCGACCTTGATCATGCTGTAGAGCGACTTCTCATACTTGGTCCGGAAGATCTCCCGAATGTCCAGCATGTCCAGCTCACTGCGGGTGACCATGATGCGGATCAGGGTGTTGTCCCGGGTCCCCAGGCCCTAGAATGACAAACAGGTTTGAGACATAGGTCCTTGAGAAGAGGCTGAGAGCCCTTAGTGTAGGCCGAAACACAATTTTCATAATCAAAAGTGAAAAACAAGCCAGGCGTCGGTGGCTCACGTCTGTCATCCTAGCTACTCAGGAGGCTGAGATCTGAGGACTGCAGTTCAAAGCCAGCCCGGGCAGGAAAGGCCGTGAGACTCTTATCTCCAGTTACCCACCAGAAAACCAGAAATGGCGCTGTGGCTCAAGTGGTAGAGCGCTTGCCTTGAGTGAAGAGCTCAGGGATAGCGCCCAGGCCCAGAGTTCAAGCCCCATGACTGATTAAAAAAAAAAAGAAAGTGAAAAATGACTGGCAAAAGACGCACACTGGCCCCAACCAGTCACACCAGCCCCACACCACACACCTTCATGGCCTTGAAGAGTCTTTCGGCAAAATACTCTGAGGTACTCCGGATACATTTCACTGGAAAGAGGAAGAAGAGGCGGATTATTCTGACCAGATTAGGAAAGCTATGACCTTGTTTCTATCCCTTAGGAGCCACCAAGTTCAAAAGGCAGGAAGAATCCTGGCTTTTGGGTTGGTTTGTTTTTGCTTTGTTTTGTTTTTTTGGTGGGTCAGTGTCCCTGAGCTCTTCAGCTCAAGGCAAGTGCTCTACCACTTGAGCCACAGCGCCACTTCCGGTGTTCTGGTGGTTAGTGGAGATTAAAGTCTCACAGACTTTCCTGTCCAGGCTGGCTTTGCGCTGCAATCCTCAGATCTCAGCCTCCTGAGTAGCTAGGATGATAGGCGTGAGCCTCCAGTGCCTGGCTTAACTGTGTTTTTGCACAAAAAAAGAAAAAAGAAAAAGAAAGGCAGATGCAAATTGCAATACACCCTCTACGTTGCTGGCCACACCATTTCTCTATCTTTTTTTCTTTTTTTCCCAGTCCAGAGGCTTGAACTGAGGGCCTGAGCGCTGTCCCTGAGCCTCTTTGTACTCAAAACTAGCGCTGTACCACTTAAGCCACAGCGCCACTTCTAGCTTTTTATGAGTAGTTTATTGGAGAGATAAGAGTCTCATGCACTTTTCAGCCCAGGCTGGCAAATCGTGATCCTCAGATCTCAGCCTCCTGAGAGGTTAGGATCATTTGCATGAGCCACCAGTGCCCAGCTCCATTTATCTCTTTTTTTGGGGGGGGGGGGGGTCCGGTCGTGGGGCCTGAACTCTGGGCCTGGGCGCTGTCCCTCAGCTCTTCAGCTCAAGGCTAGCGCTCTACCACTTGAGCCACAGCGCCACTTCCAGCTTTTTTCTTTTTGCTTATGTGGTGCTGAGGAATCGAACCCAGGGCCTCATGCATGCAAGGCAAGCGCTCTACCACTGAGCCACCTTCCCAGCCCCACCAGCTTCATTTCTCTATCCTAGTCACTGCCCATCACTTCCTTCTATCCAGGGATGCATCCAGAAGAGTTCCTAAATTCCTGGTGTGTTTGTGCAGTGCACTGACATAAACAGAGAGGTTGTCTTGTGTGAAGACTTGTTACACACAGCCTTGGCAACATGTGGTCAATCATAATAATAAACAAATAATCAATTAAACAAAGAAAGAAATCAGCCAAGGAGCCTATAGAAATCACAAGAGTCGGGCTGGGTGTTGGTGGCTCAAACCTGTCATCCTAGCTACTCAGGAGGCTGAGATCTGAGGATCTTGGTTCAAAGCCAGCCTGGACAAGGAAGTCCATGAGACTCTTATCTCCGATAAACCAGCAGAAAACCCAAAGTGGTGCTGTGGCTCAAGCGGTAGAGTGCTAGCCTTGAGCTGAAGAGCTGAGGGACAGCGCCCAGGCCCAGAGTTCAAGACCCATGATGGACCAAAAAAAAAAAAAGGAAGAAAGAAAAAGAGAAATCAGAAGAGTCTATCTCAAAGATCTACTTCCTGTTTCTGGTCCCTTTCCATTTCATAGGAACTGGGTCCAATCAGGGGTAGGTGCTGGGTGGAAGGTGAAAGGTATTTCTTTAGGTTCTATTATACCAGGAAGGTACTGGCAGTGGAGTCACGTGACAAAGCAGGTCAGACCCCAACTACTTCAAATAAGGCTGGCAGGGGACAATCGAAGGGGTGTGTATATGGGGGTGGGGGGAAGATGAGGCCTGAGATAGGAATTCATAGTCGCTGGTGCCAGTGGCTCATGCCCGAAATCCTAGCTACTATCTGAGGATAGTAGTTCAAAGCCAGTAAGAAATCCAGACCCCTGTTCCCCCCACACCAGTTGTGAGCCTTGAACTCAAGGCTTGGGCCTTGTCTCTAAGCTTCTTTGTGTTCAAGGCTAGATCTCTACCAGTCTGAGCCACAGCTCCACTTCTGGTTTTCTGATGGTTAATTAGAGATGAGAGTCTCACAGACTTTCCTGCCTGGGCTGGCAGGGAATTTGAGAGAGGCACTGGGTTTGGATCTGAGCCTTCACCATTGAAGGCTAGAGCATACAGTTCATGACAAACTACCCCTTGGCACGTGACCTAGCCTCAGTTTCCTCACTGTGAAGAGCAGTGCCTGTTCTCTGCCCTTTCCTAAAGGTTAAGCACTGTGGTGCAGGCACAATAGGACCTCCACAAGGGGCTTTTTAAAAAATTCCTTTTATGTTTGGGTCTTAAACTCAGGGCCTTATACTCTTGCTTGGCTTTTTTTCCGCTCAAGGCAGGGGCTCTACTCCTTGAGCCACACCTCCACCACTTTTGGCATTTTTGGTGGTTACTTGGAGATTAAGAGTATCTCGGATTTGTCTTCCTGGGCTGGCCTTCAACAATGATCCTCAGATCGTAGCCTCCTGAGCAGCTGGGATTACAGGCATGAGTCTAGGCTCCACTATGATCATCACTATCTTAGCCCCAAGTTCAGTGCTTTGCTCCCTCTATCACTGTGGAGGAGGGGGTAGGCAGAAATCAGGCCCGTCTGCTTTCCTTCCCTACTCCACAAATGAGTTCCCTGTGTCCAATTCCTGGCCCGTTTCTCTGGGGCTGGCATCCCAGAATCCCTTGGGAAGGTGATCTCAGGACATACCCACAGCCAGCATTAGTTTCTCAAAGTCCCCAGACAGTTCTCCTCGGATGCTGGCTTCGATCGGCTTCCCTGTGGTCCTCAGATACTCATCAAACACTGTGTCAAAAGAGAGAGACAAGATGTCTAGGTTACTGTCCTTGAAATGGCAAGAAGGGGACAGTGACTTCTGAGGGATGGGACCTACATATGTAATTCTACCATATATATGGATATATTTATCTATTTATATATAGGTTTATATACTTATATCTATAGATATATTTATAGATATAAATTATATATACTTATATATATATTTATATATTTACAACTATAGATTTATCTATGGATAGGTATGTTTATCTACCTATATCCATCTATAGACTATATATCTATATGGCTATAGAATTCATTTCTCTATATATCTATATCTGTATCTACATGACCCCTCATTAATGACTTAGAAGAGGGACCCTATAAAACCACTCATTTCTCATGGCATCAGCTTTTGGATCAGGGCTAAAGTAGCTGTTGTGTCACTTAAAAGGTAAAGAGAAGGGCGATCTGGGCACAAACCCCCAGGCAGGCAAGCTGTGGGGTCTTTTCTGGAACTTACCCAAGCGGAGATGCTGCTTGCTGCGATTTCCCAAGATATAAATGAACTGGGCCTCATCCGTTCCCCATTTCAGTTCCCCCGCCTCATACAGATCCTAAAGAGAAGAGGTATGAATTAATGGCCACAAAACCTCAGGAGGGTTTGGGGTGTTGCCCAAGTAGGAGAGTATGGACCTAATAAGCACAAAGCCCTGAGTTCAAATCACAATATTAAAATAAATAAATAAAAAGGAAGAGGAATCTGGGGGGACAGGACAGCCTAGCCAAGTCATTCAGAGCAGATCCTGACATTATCAGTAACTGGTAGCCTCAGGACCTTTGCATATACCTGCAAGCCTTTCTTCCTTTCTTTCTGGGGAAGCTCTTCAACTTTCATGGCTCCAATTAAATGTCCTGTTTTTCCTCCCTCAAAGTACCACCCCCCCTACAGTCTCCAGGTAGAATTCTCTTTCCTTCTCTCTTTCTCCCATCACTTTTTGTTCTTTATCTCCTTGACCTACCGTGGGTTACAGTATTTCCTCACATATCTATCTCCCCGATCGATGTGTGCCCATCTCTCCAGTACTGTCTGATGCTGTTTATGAAGTGATTGGCAGAAGGCCAGGCAAAAGGCCAGGGATTTAACTCCAATCCACAGGACGTAACGGAATGAATAAAATCAACCACAATGAAAGCTCCAAAATCCATCTCACCTGTGTACCTGCTATGTATACCTCTGAAAGATAAACTTTGACCTTTTCTTCCACAAAGCACTATCTAAATAAATAAATAAATATCATCATGACCCCCTCCCTCTCCCTCTCTCCCCAGGCTCCTCAGCGGTGTCTTGGGGACCTTCCCTCAGTGCCTGCTTACCTGGACATCCTGCTGGACTAAGTCCTCGCTCACGACATCGTCCTCCTCTCTGGTTCCCTAGACAGAGAGACAAGGAAAATGTGTCTCTAACAGTGCAGAGCCTGGGAGCCAGCGCTGGAGCAGAGAAGAGAAACCCTGGTAGTGCAGAGGTGAGCAGCAGCGGTGGCGCGAGGTGTCTGGGTCAGGAGAAATACTTAGCTGCCATGGGATTAAGAATGGCATCTGGGCTGGGCAGGTGGCTCAGTGGTAGAGTGCCTGCCTTGCATGCATGAGGCCCTGGGTTCGATTCCTCAGGACCACATAAATAGAAAAAGCCGGAAGAGGCACTGTGGTTCAAGTGGTGGAGTGCTAGCCTTGAGCAAAAGAAACTCAGGGACAGGGCAGAGGCCCTGAGTTCAAGCCCCAGGACTGGCCAAAAAACAAACAAAAAAAACAAGCTAGGTGCCAGTGGCTCACACCTATAATCCTAGCTACTCAGGAGGCTGAGATCTGAAGATCCCAGTTCAAAGCCAGTCCAAGCAGAAAAGTCCCCGTGAGACTCTGATCTCCAATTAACCAGAAATAGTCCTGTGGCTCAAAGTGGTAGAGCTCTAACCTTGAGCAAAAGAGTTCAGGGACAGTGTCCAGGCCCTGAGTTCCAGCCCCATGACTGACCAAAAAAAAAAAGGCATCTGATTCCTAGAGAATCATACAATGATCTCTCTCCTCAGCTGCCCAGTTATTCTCAGGGCCACAACCAAACCGGGCATAGCCAGGGTCTCTCAGGTGTTTCCCTAGGCTGTAACACTGAGGCCATCTCAGAAGCCAGGACCCGAAATCTAGATGGCAGTGCCTATGACAACAGTGCCACAAGGCAAAGGGCTGGCACGTTTGCAGGAAGCTTTCCCCAAGGACGATCTGGGTCTTGAATCACAGGTCTAAGTGCACAGCCCCAAAGGCGCAGACCCTCCTGATGCTCCTACTGCTCCACTCAAGCCCCGAGCCCCATCCAATAGAGGACACAGAGAAACAGGACGCTGCTCAAAGGGGCCAACCCGGGTCCTTGCTTCCCGGGACAGAGGTGCACATGTATGGGAAAACATGAAGAAAAAAGCTCCAGTGTGGCAGGCTGAATTTGCCCACAGATAACCAAAGAATTCTTCAGCCCTCTCAGAGCCCCTTTGGTGATGGCCCCTTGGGGGGCTGGGAGGGAGCCCAGCCCAGCTGTGAATGCCTCTCTGAGCAAGTGGAGGAGAGGTACCTGAGCCTAGATCCTCAGAACAACCTCTCAGGCTCCAGCGAACACAGCAGACAGTGTGTGGAGGGGAGCGGAAGGGAGGGAAGGAAGACACAATATGAAAGAAGGACTCACATCAGATCATCCACCTGCCAAAGCATCAGGGACAAGGGCCCCTTGGCCCCCAGGAGCCTCTCCGCAAGGCAGCTCTGTGGAGGGGCCCAGGAACGCCCTGTACCCACCTGGAGCAGGACGATGAGCATCTTCTGGAAGTGGCCGGAAGTGTCGCCAATGATGTCAGACTCCAGGTCTCGCTCATAGGCTGCAGGAGGACACACAAACTCTAGCCTCATCCCCAGAGGCCCCCGGGATTCTTGCTGACCCCCACCAAAGTGATCAGGTATTTGTCACAAGTCCCCAAACCCAGATACATGGCATACACATATCCCACACCCCACACAGAATACTTATTAGAGGGACCCATGGGCAGATGGGTGGTGTCAAAGGGAAGGGAGGACAGGGGGTGTGGCCAGTCTCAGTGGCTCCGCCCCACAATCACCTTCATTTCACATGCAAAGATCCTGAGCAAGGATCTCCCTCCCATCATCTTACCATCTTTGTACGCTGCCACCAGCTGGTGGATCTGTTCGTTAGTCCGGGAAGCCAAGATCTCAATGAGGCATTTCTCATCTGTGCCGGCTCCCTAAGAGAAAAGGGGCAAGGATAGAGGGTCATACGGCGGCCTGGGCTGCAAGACCTCAGCACTGAAACCGCTGACACTCAAGGCATGGGTTCTAGTCCTGTTTTGATCAGCAGCTTGCTCTTGTGACGTGTGTGTGTGTGTGTGTGTGTGTGTGTGTGTGTGTGTGTGTGTGTGTGTGTGTGTGTGTGTGTGTGTGTGTGTGTGTGTGTGTGTGTGTGTGTGTGTGTGTGTCCTGGAGCTTGAACTTAGGACCTAGGCACTGTCCCTGAGCTTTTTCTGCTCAAGGCTAGTGCTCTACCACTTAAGCCACACAGCTCTATTTCCAGCTGTTTTTTGTTTTTACTGGCTAACTGGAAATAAGTCTCCCGGGCTTTCCTGCCTGGGCTGGCTTTGAACTGTGATCCTCAGATCTCAGCCTCCTGAGTAGCTAGGATTGCAAGCATGAGCCACTAGCACCCAGCTTCTTGTGACTTTTTAAATACAATCTTAGTGTAGAGCACTAGCCTTGGGCTGAAGAGCTCAGGGACAGCGCCTAGGCCCAGAATTCAAGTCCCACAACTGACAAAAAAATTAATTAAAAAAACAAAAATACAATCTTCCCAGGTACTGGTAGCTCACATCTGTCCTCCTAGGTACTCAGGTGGCTAAGATCTCAGGATCAAAAGTCAAAGCCAGCCTGAGTAGGAAAGCCCATGAGACTCTTACATCCAATTAACCAATGAAAAGGTGGAAATGGAAGTGTGGCTCAAGTGGTAGAGCACCAGCCTTGACAGAAACCAGTACCAATACAATTTTTTTAAACAGAGACTGTTTTCCTGGGCCTTGGTTTTCTTTTCTTTTTTTTTTTTTTTTTTGTGGGGGGGGGGGGGGGAGTTGTTGGTCTTGGAGCTTGAACTCGGCCTGGGCGTTGTCCCTCAGCTCTTCAGCTCAAGGCTAGTGCTCTACCACTTGAGCCACAGCGCCCACTTCCTTTTTTTTTTTTGCTTATGTGGTGCTGAGGAATCGAACCCAGGGCCTCATGCATGCAAGGCTAGTGCTCTACCACTTGAGCCACAGCGCCCACTTCCTTTTTTCTTTTTGCTTATGTGGTGCTGAGGAATCGAACCCAGGGCCTCATGCATGCAAGGCTAGTGCTCTACCACTGAGCCACAGCGCCCACTTCCTTTTTTTTTTGTTTAAGTGGTGCTGAGGAATCGAACCCAGGGCCTCATGCTTGCAAGGCAAGCGCTCTACCACCGAGCCACCTTCCCAGCCCCATGGGCCTTGGTTTTCTCGTGTGCAAAGCAGAGCCGTTCTTAGGCTTAGTTGCTCACGTAGATGCTGAGGGATGCTGAGGAGGCGGTAAGCTCACACGGCTGCTCTCTCTGCTTCTGAAATGCACTCATGTTGATAACCCAATGCCAGCAGTGACCACGGCTCTTTGACTGCCAAGTGCAGGATTCGAACCAAGGGCTTTTAATTACAGATCCTGCGGGACTGACGATGGAGCTCAGGGGCCAGGTGATCTATCCCTGAGCTCTGTCCCAGCCAAGACATCATGGGCTTTTTCACCTTCCCCCATTTTTCCTTGCAGACAGCGCATGCGTGAAAACCCAATCCCCCCCCCCCCCCCCCCCCCCCCCCCGTCCCTCCTCTCATCCTAATACAACTCCACTCTCCTACTTGCCAAATCCCAGCCCATCCAAGCCGTGAGCATGACAAGATCTCAAATGTCCCCCAAAAAATCGGTTCCCCAGGCATTCCCTAAATTATCCTCAGACATCCTCTCAGGCCCCTCTAGGGCCTGGGATTTCTCCCTGATGTCTCTCTTCAGGGCACCCCGGACACTGTATTTTTGTCCTGTTTTGTTTAATCTTCACATAGTTGCTAACAGAGGGGTTTCAATACCATACCCTGCTTCCCTCAGAAGTATAAACTCCTGGGTCAAGGCCAAGGTCTTGTGGAGTCTGTGTCACACATCTGTCCACAGCTGGCTGTCTAGAGTAGACAGGGTAAGCCCTGTGGGATGGGCTGCTTCTAGAAGCATGATGTCATCTGTTGTGGAGGTCTGGGCCTAGCAGATGCCTGTTGGAGAGCCCTAGAAGCCCTCATTACCCATACCCTGGCCCCCAAGCCCCAAACTCGCCCTCATGCTTACTCACCGAGATGGCATCTTTGATTTCCTTGGCATCACAATAGGCAAGTGGCCTCATCAGGCCCACGATGAGCCGCTCAAACTTCCCCGTCAGTTCGTACTTCAAGTCTGCAATGAGGTCCTGAGGGTGGGGAAGAGGTGGGCTCATGGCACAGGTACAGGCCCCAAGGCCTTAGGTGATGGGCCCTGAGTCACGCTGTTATCCCTGAAAGCCCACCCTAGGGACGTCAGTCACCCACCCAGTCATTCATCAAATGGGTCACGCAGGTTCAAGTCCCAGCACAGCACCCTTCCTACCCCTGACTGCTTCCCTGTCTACCGTGCCCTCCCCCCACAGTCTGGGAATTTTCCCAGTGGTGCCCTAACACCAGCACAGAGCCCCGGATGTAGCAGGTGCTCTAGCCTTAGGTCAGACTACACGAAGAGAAAGAGCCAGGGCAGGTTCTGAGGCTGAAGGGCCAGCGTGGGGGCTGACCCTCACCCTCTCGGCCCTTGGTTGCCATGGTTACCTTGCCATAGAGAGACTTATAGCTCTGACAGATGTCCTGCCTCTGCCTGTTGCTCCGGGAGGTGATCAGCTCCAGTATGGCCTCCTTGTCGCTGCCTGGAAGAGGGGAGATGATCGTCGTGAGCCCACACCGCCTCCAGGAAGCCCTCTCAGGCTGCTTCCTCGTCAGAGGCCTGGGGCCAATGAGGTCTCTTAAGTCCTCATTGAAAGGTATTATAGTACAAGGAAGGAAAGTGAGGAGCAAGGACTTGTCTAGGATCTTACAATCTGAGCATAACTTAGGTATCAGCCAGGTGCCAGTGGTGGCTCAGACCTTTCATCCTGGCTACTCAGGAGGCTGAGATCTGAGGATCAAGCTTTGAAGCCCGCCTGAGCAGGAAAAGCCCCTGAGACTTTTATCTCTGATGAATCACAGAAAAAGCTGGAAGTGGCGCTGTGACTCAAGTGGTAGAATGCTAGCCTTGAGCAAAAGGAGCTCAGAGACAATGCCCAGACCCAGAGTTCCAGCCCCTAGAACTAGCCAAAAAGAACAAAAAGAAAAGAAAATCCCATTCTCTAAAGAAGAAAGCAATAAGCACTGAAGCCAGGGTAGCAGTTACCCTGAGCAAAGGCAGGGGGAGCTATGGGGAGGGGCCCACCAAGATGATTTTCAAGTACACCAAGAAGGCCCTCACTTTCCTGGAAATGGGGAGAGGAGTAGAGTAGGGGCTGTGGAGAAGGCTTCCAATATCCTTTATGATTTACTGTTGGCCCCAAATGTTTTATTTTATTTATTTCTTGCCACTCCTGGGGCTTGAACTCAGGGCCTGTGTACTGTCCTTGAGCCACAGCACCACTTCTGGCTTATTCTGTGTATGTGGTACTGAGGAATCGAACCCGGGGCTTCATGCATGCTAGGCAAGCACTCTACCACTAAGCCACATTTCCAGCCTTGGCCCCAAATGCTTTATTATGAATAAGGTTATTATGGGGGGGGGGGGCACAGCTTGGTGGCAGAGAACCCAGTGCATGAGGTACTGGGCTCAATCCTTAACCTCACAAACAAATGAAAACCACAGGACATTTCACTGTCTCATGCCCTTTCCCACTAACAGGAACAGGCTCTGGGCTATGCCCACACTTTTAGCAAGCACAGGCAAACTCCAATGAAGCCTCCTTCCTGCAAAACCTATTGTCCAGGGACCTGAAACCCACCAAAGCCCTTCATGGCAGTGTACAGAGCCTCGGCATCCTGATTGGGATTGAAGTCTGGGAAGTCGTGGATAGAGCCTCGGTACTTGGCACCCTGTGGAAAGAAAGGCAGAGGGTAACATGTTGACCTTGGGTCTGGACTGCTGGAACAAATCAAGGCTGAGCTCCTTTCCTCTGATAAAACCAAGTACTGAGCTAGGTGAGGTGGCTCACACCTGTAATCCCAGCTACTCAGGAGGCAGAGATAGGAGGATCAACGTTCAGAACTAACCCCGGGCAAAAGCAGAAAACCCTATTTGAAAAGCAAATTTAAAAAAGAAAAAGTATGAAACTGGTAGCTCACGCCTATAATCCTAACTACTCAGGAGGCTGAAAAGTTAGTTGAACCTCAATTCCTCCCCCTTACCCTGCCCCCACCCCTGACTTATGGGGGCTTGAACTCTGGGCCTGGGCACTGTCCCTGAGCTCTTTTTGCTCAAGGCTAACACTCTACCACTTTGAGCCACAGCACCATTTCTGGTTTTCTGGTGGTTAATTGAAGATAACAGTCCTGCCAGGATGGCTTTGAACCAGAATCCTCATATCTCAGTTTCCTGAGAAGCTAGGATTACAGGTGTGAGCCACCAATTCCTGGCTTCGTTGAAGCTCTTCAATCAACCACCAAAAAACACAGAACTGGAGCTGTGGCTCAAAGTGGTTGATCGCTATTTTTTTTTTTTTTTTGCCAGTCCTGGGGCTTGAACTCAGGCCTTGGGCACTGTCCCTGAGCTGCTTTTGCTCTACCATTAGAGCCACAGTGCCACGCGTGGCTTTTTCTGTTGATGTAGTACTGAGGAATCGAATCCAGGGCTTCATGCGTGGTAGGCAAGCACTCTACCACTAAGCCACATTCCCAGCCTGAGAGCTTGTCTTGAGCAAAAAAACAAAAACAACAATTTTAGGGACAACACCCAGGCCCTGAATTCAAACCCCATGACAAAAAAAAAAAAAAAGAGAAAGAAAGAAAGGGAGGGGGGAAGGAAGGAAGGAAGGAAGGAAGGGGGGAAGAGAGGGAGGGAGGGAGGGAGGGAGGGAGGGAAGGAGGGAGGGAGAGAGAAAGAATACTGGGGGAGGGGCATGGCTAGGCTTTCAGATGCCTGAATTCAAGTCCTAATATCACCAAAAGAGCAAAACAAAATAAATGAAAAAACAAATACTGTTCACATAACTCCAGGGAAAGGTGTAGGTGAATCTCTGGATCTACTTGCTCCAACTTACAAGGACAGTGCCATTTCTCCATGGAGGGTGGTGTGGCCAAGATCCACAGCCCTGGCCACCCCCAGGAAAGAGTATAAACATCTGGCTGGCTGGAAGGTATGAAAATGATCCTGTGAGACCCACAAGAACCCCTTTTCTTTTCTTTTTTGTCGGTCATGGGGCTTGAACTCTGGGCCTGAGCGCTGTCCCTCAGCTTCAGCTCAAAGTGACCACTCTACCATTTGAGCCACAGTGACACTTCCTGTGGCACTTTTGGTGGTTTATTGGAGATAAGAGTCTCTCGGGGACTTTCCTGCCTGGTCTGGCTTTGAATTGCAATCCTCAGATCTCAGTCTCCTGAGTAGCTAGCTAGGATTACAGGCGTGAGACACTGGCTCTTTTATTTTCATGCACTCACAGTTCAAAAGCCCTTTGCCCTACACTCCAGTGATTATTTTAGCAGCTGCTTGAGCTGCTAAAAGAAGCAAGCCAAGAGAAGCAAAGGCAGAGAGGCGAAGCCACTTAAAGAAGCCACTCAAAGCCAGGCACCAGTGGCTCACTCCTGTAATCCTAGCTACTCAGGAGGCTGAGATCTGAGGATCACAGTTCAAAGCCAGCCTGGGCAGGAAAGTCTGTGAGACTCTTATCTCCAATTAACCACCAGAAAACCAGAAGTGGCACTGTGGCTCAAGTGGTAGAGCATTACCTTGAGCTGAAGAACTTGGGGACAGCACCCAGGCCCTAAGTTCAAGCCCATGACTGATTAAAAAAGCCACCCAGACCCCAGACCTCATCCCCTGTCCCCCACAAGCCTTGCAGCTGCCAATTTACTCAGGGGATCCAAAGCCAGAGCTCCACGCCCCCCTGTCCCCCAAGTTCAATGCAGAAATAAGGGCTGTCTGTCTCTGTGGGGCCAGTTGAGTAAACCAAACCGTGAACCAGCATCTGAGGACAAGCTGGCAAAGGTCCCTGGAGGCCAGGAGAGGTAGACTGAGACATCAGATCTAAACCTGAATGGACAATGGGTTCACAGAGGTGGCAGGCACCTGCGGGTCAGCCATGGCACTGAGAAACACAGGGTTCAGGAAGGAGTATAGCAGAGAGCTGCAGAGATAGCATTTGATTGGCTGGGGGTGGGTGGGGGAGGAGCCCATAAATCCCAACAAAGCAAGTAACAACTATCTCTGATAGAAGCAAGGTTAATGAGCCAGGGCCAAATTCTGCTTGGGGGGTGGTAGAGGCAGAGAAGGATTCTTGGACCAAATAGCTGCAGGGCATGGGGGTGGGGTGACCCACACATTCACTTTCAAGGAGCAAGAGCCTGCTGTTCCGTTTATGTCTGTGGAGGAGGCGTGAGCGTGGGCGCCGGGCTGCTATTTAAAGTTCTGCAAAGGCCAGCGTGACTAGAAAGTGACACAGCCTTCTTCCCGCCATCCACAAATCTCCTGCAACCAGATTGGGCCCTGGGCAGGGAAGGAAGGAGTCACAGGCCAAACACTGGACGGTGGCACCTTGCAGGGAACTTGTTTTGCCCCATGCTAAGGGTCCCCACGCCTCATTTTTGGACATTCCTAAAGCCAGCTTGGCACAGACAGACAATCTGATCTCGGGACCCCCAGAGAGGCAGGTACCAGACCCAGCCCACGTGCCACTCAGAGATGACCAGGGACAACACTCAAGTGCTGTCACCAAGAGTTCAGTGGACAGGAAGACAACCAATGTCCACGCTGGAACTTTACATCTAACCCCCTAAGTAAATAATCTCCCGCCACAGCTGTTACCCAGAATACCACAGGACCATGGTCACTGCGAGTGGGGCTGAGTTTCTTAGCATTGGTCACATGTAGAGACAATCATCTGGGCCCAGTGACAGTCCTCCTCACCCCCCCCCCCCCCCCAATGTGGAGAGTGCTCCCCTCCTGGATGGCTGGGTCTCTCCTCGGCCCGTCCCGTCTCTTGGCAGAAGGGATCTTGGCTGCAGGTAGACATGATGGAGGGTGGGGGAGGAGGACAAGGGACTTTCCACCTGAAATATTCAGCAGGTCTTGGTGCCAGCTGGTGAGCAGCCTAGGCCCTGGCGCTCTGTAGGCTGAAGCCACACCCAGAACACAGCAGCAGCAGCTGCCCCAGGGATGGCCACCAGTATTGGGACTGCAGCTGCCCTGGTGGAACTTTCTGTAGGTCTTTCTTTGTAAGTTCCCAGTGTCTCAGGCATGGCCATCTGTCTTCTCTTTTCCTGCTCTTTTTTGTTTTTTTTTTGGTTGGTTGTGGGGCTTGAACTCTGGGCCTGGCTGGGTGCTGTCCCTGAGCTCTTTAACTCAAGGCTAGTGCTTTTCCACTTGAGCCACAGCGCCACTTCTGGTTTTCTGGTGGCTCATTGGAGGTAAGAGTCTCACGAACTTTCCTTGCGTGGGCTGGCTTTGAATTGTGATCCTCAGATCTCAGCCTCCTGAGTAGCTAGGATGACAGGCGTGAGTCTGGTCCTTGTCCTGCTCTTAAAGTGGTTTGGTTCCTCACTGCATTTCAACCCTGAACTAGACCACAGAGCTGGTACCTCGTGAGACATCACACTCTCGGGCCTTCGGGTCCCATGTCCCTCTTTTGAAAGGACAGCTGTAGAAGGAACCAGAATAAACAGACTCCAGAAAAGGGAGCATTGCGTGAACATGTAAGCGTGTCTGCACAGGGACATGTGTATGACATAGGGTGGCCACTAGAAACAGAGCTAATAATTGGAGGTGGTAGATACCAATGATTTTATTTTATTTTATATTTGTGCTGGCACTGGGGCTTGAACTCAGGGCCTGGACACACTGTTCCTTAGCTTTTTCTCTCAAGGCTTGTCCTCTATACCTCTGCTTTCAGCTTTTTTGGTGGTTCATTGGCGATAAGAGTCTTGTGGGAAGGGGCTGGGAAGGTGGCTCAGTGGTAGAGCGCTTGCCTTGCATGCATGAGGCCCTGGGTTCGATTCCTCAGCACCACATAAGCAAAAAGAAAAAAGCCGGAAGTGGCGCTGTGGCTCAAGTGGTAGAGCGCTAGCCTTGAGCTGAAGAGCTGAGGGACAGCGCCCAGACCCAGAGTTCAGGCCCCACGACCGGACCCAAAAAAAAAAAGAGTCTTGTGGGAGCTGGACACCAGTAGCTCACGCCTGTCATCCTAGCTACTCAGGAAGCTGAGATCTGCAGATTGTGGTTCAAAGCCAGCCCGAGCAGGAAAAGCTGAGAAACTCTTATCTCCAATAAACCACCAGAAAAACCGTAAGTGGCGCTGTGGCTCAAGTGGTAGCGCACTAGCCTTGAGCTGAAGAGCTGAGGGACAATGCCCAGGCCCAGAGTTCAAGCCCCATGATCGACCCCCCCCCCCCCAAAAAAAAAAAAGTCTTGTGGACTCTCCTGCTTTAACTGGCTTCAAATCTCAATCCTTAGATCTCGGGCTCCTGAGAAGCTAGGATTACAGGTGTGAGCCATCGGCGCGTGGCTTAGATATCAACTTGAGCTTGCTGGAAGACCTGTCCCAAGGGAGGGGACCCTAAAGGCCCTGCCACCCTAGAACTTGCTTGCAAGGATGTCTATTAGCCCCTGGTTTGATGATAATAATAAGCACGGGTCAGACAAACAGACACTAGCCCGAGTGTTGGCCTTGGAGTCCATAGCTCTATATCCCACAATTCCTGACCCCTCTGGTCTCTCCCTGGTTGACCTGTTTATGTGAGTCAGCTAGAACCTTACAATACCAATGCCCCTTAGGAAGCAATCCGGGAAATACAGAACAGCAAAGCTGTGTCTGGAGTTCTGCCTGGAGTGAGTGGGAGAGGTCTGGGGCAGAGCATGCTCTGCAGCCGGGGAAGGGGAAAGATACAGGGCTATTTTCAGATGCCAAGGTGTTGCACCCAAGCTGTGGCTACCCTTTGGGCCCCCAGTCCATTTTGTGGCAAGTCATAAGAAACAGGGATGAAGCCAGGCACCGGTGGCTCACACCTGTAACCCTAGTTACTCAGGAGGCTGAGATCTGAGGATCATGTTTGGAAGCCAACCCAGGTAAGAAGAGTCATGGGACTTTATCTCCAATGAATCAGCAAAGAGCTGGAAGTAGAGCTGTGGCTCAAGTGGTAGAGCAGCAGCGTTGAGCACATAACCTAAGGGACAGTGCCCAGGCCCTGAGTTCAAGCACCAGTATTAATGCACAACACTCTATCTCTATAGGGGGAAAGACCCTCTATTATTGCTTGCTTGCTTGCTTCCTTCCTTCCTTCTTTCCTTTCTTTGTGTCTCCCCACTATTCATTTCCCTTTCTGGGGAACAAATCTTGAGCTATACAGGTCCAGTGGGATCTGGCTCTGAGAGAGGGCCAATCAAGGAGAACACACCTGGAAATTCCCCCAGAAAGCATTAGGAATTCATTTCTCACTAGGACAGAATAGAGCTGCTGGTGGCTAACATGCACAGCAAGGAGGAACAGACCCCAGAACAAAGCCACCCAGAGGAAGCCTACTCCCTGAAAGTGGAATCCTGACTAACATTTGGACCCCTGGATCCAGCCAGACCTGAAGTCCCATGCTTGTCAGTCATGTGAGCCAATGTACCTAGATCCTTTTCTGCTTGAGGTATTATGTATTGTCACTGGTGACTTGCCTCCAAAGAGGTGTGGCTTTTGAAGGGGTCTCTGAAGTAGGCCTATTGATGCCAGGGGGATCCCAGGTCCCATGGAGGCCAAGAACAACCCTCAACAGGGAGAGCTCTTACCTGTGCTAGCTTGGCCATGATCTTGGTTCAACAGAAGCCACTGTGGAGAAAAAAACAGAGTCATGAGACCTCCATGTTATTCCTGCATTTCCCTCCCCTCTCTCTATTTTCCATCCCGCCATCTTCCAGCTGCCTCCAGCCCTCCAGGCTATAACCCACATGGAGGTCCAGCTTGGGCCAGAGCCTGTTTATTTTTGCCAGTCCTGGGGCTTGAACTCAGGGCCTGAGCACTCTCCTTGAGCTTTAGTACTCAAGGCTAGCTCTCTATCACTTTGAACCACAGCTCCACTTTCGGCTTTTTTGGGTAGTTACTTGGAGATAAGAGTCTCATGGTCTTTCCTGCCCTGGCTGGTTTCAAATGGCGACCCTTAGATCTCAGCCTCCTGAGTAGCTTGGATTACTGGAGTGAGCTACCAGTACCCAGCCTGAGACTTTTCTTTCAGGCATAGTGGTGTCTAGACTGGAGTGGTTAAGGGGGGGAAACTTAGACCTGATCATGGACCCACAAATGAACACCACCACCAAGCACCCCCCCCCCACTAGTCCTTCCAGGCATGAGACACCCCCTTCTATCCCAGGAAAAGAAACTAAGGTTGAGCAACACAACATGTGGTCCATGGTCAAACAACTGAGACACGAATTCAACCACTATCAGAGTCCAGAGCCCATGCAATGCGCCCCATGGCTGGTTCTTCAAGTCACCACACAGCCAGCTGCAGCCCAGGGTTTCCCAGGCTGCAGATAGGTAGATGCCAGGCTCCCAGCAGCCTCTTTCTAAGGGGAATAGTCCAGCCGGAACCTGAGATCATTACCCACCATCTATACCCAGCCAGGCACTGCACTAGGATCTGGAGATCCAAGCAGCAACTGGAAGACAAGGGGAGCAGCTGGTAGAACCCCAGGATGGAGGGTCAGGGACTCTCATCTTGGGGCAGTGTCAATACAGGACCATATTGCTTGGTGTGATCGCCAGGAAGGGACAGAAATGACAGGATGGGGGATCCTGTGGGCCACTGTGAAGATTAGATTTTTCTAGATAGGACAAGGCCATGAGGGCAGGGGGGTACAACACACAAAACAGAAAATGAATAAGAAGCTGGATGCTGGTGGCTCATGCCTAATAATCTTAGCTACTGAGAAGGCTGAGATCTGAGGATCGTGGTTCGAAGCCAGCCCAGGCCAAAAAGTGCCCATGAGACTCATCTCCAATTAACCCCTCAAAACCCAGAAGTGGTGCTGTGGCTTAAGTGGTAGAGCGCTAGCCTTGAGCACAAAGAGGCTCAGGGACTGTGCCCAGGCCCTGAGTTCAAGCCCCACAACCAACAAAAAAAGAAGAAGAAAATGAATAAGAAGCCAGCACTGGTGGCTTATATGCCTATAATCCTAGCTACTTAGAAGGCTGAGATCTGAAGGTTTGGGGCTCCAAGCCAGCCTAGGCAGACTCTTACCTCCAATCAACCACCCCCCCCCCCATCAAAAAAGCCAGAAGTGTAAGCATTGCTTGATTTAATAGATGGCCAGCCCTTGAGTTTTTGTTTTTTTTTTTTAAGGCAAGTAAGCACGTGAGGTCCTGAGTTCAAGTCTCAGTATTGGCACAAAACCCAAACAAACCCATTTCAATAGGTTTCATTGTTCTATGAGGGGAAATTCTGGGAGGGCAGCCCCTCTTCAGGAAAAAAAAAATATCCCAGTGAACAGCCCTGCCCTGTTTTTGGCATGGCAAGCCACACGCAGGAGAGCACACGTATTACCTATGTGACCCCAGGGTTATTGCCTACTTTGGAGTTCAAGGTTCTGTGGAGCACAAACGTGAGACTTTCATGGGGTTGGTGGAAGGAGCTGGAACAGGCCCTTCCTTATCCTTTGGCCCATTTGCCTGCATCACCTGAAGACTAGTTCCCCCAAGTGATCGATCATGACCGTTATCAGATAGGGGTGCAGAGTGAAGGGCGAAGGCCGGGGAAAGGAGGTCCTGTGGCCTGGGGCAGTTCCGCTGGGCTCAGCTGGGTCAACCTGCTCCACTTGGCTCAGCTCAGTTTGAGAAAAACCATGGCTGTTGCCCTGGCAACCAGAGGCCCTCAGCTGCAAATGTGAAGCTCTCCCCAGGAAATGGAAACTACCAGCCCCCAATCACAGAGTGGGGGGGGGGGGAGGGGTGCTGACATCCTGCCCAGGATGGGGCTGGCCTCCAGCTGTGGTGTTCCCCAGGCCTGGGGTGGTGGGGCCAGAGGGGAAGGAAATTCCAAGGCCATCAGAAAGACTGAATGGAGCCCTCTGACACCAGGGAAGGAGGACACTATTGGCCGTCAACTGCACCATTGGGCCATTGTGCTTTGGCCTGGTTGCTGGAAACCACCCAGGCCCCCATCTGGATAGAGGGGGAGGCTCACACGAGGGGCCTCTTTGGGAGTGCCTACGTGGCAAGCAAGCTTCTCCCCAGAGCTAGGGGGTTCAGACTGTCTGTGGTTCAGAGCCAACCTTCTAGTACATTCCACAGCCCCTCTGGGGACTCTGGGAGCTGATCGCACCAAAAGCATTTACAAACTGCTTTTGGCTTTCCGAAGGCCTTGGAGTCTTTCCAGAGCAAACAGGATCGTACGTCTCAAACTGGCTGGACATTTCATATCCAAAGTTCTAGAAGCATGAGAGGGCCCCGTCCCCCAGCCTCTCAGACATCCGAGGGGTGCCTCAGGGAGGAAAAGTGGCTTTCCGGGCCTCAGCCAGCACCCGATGGCTTGGCTGAACAACCCCAGGGCAAATAGGTTCCTATCTAGCCAGGGCCAAGAGGGACATCAAGAGGATCTGGTTTGGGTTGAGAATGTGGCTCAGTGGTAGAGTGCTTGCCTCGCATGCATGAAGCCCTGGGTTCGATTCCTCAGTACCATATCCATAGAATAGGCCAGAAGTTGTGCTGTGGCTCAAGTGGTAGAATGCTGACCTTGAGCAAAAGAAGCTCCAAGACAGTGCCCAGACCCTGAGTTCAAGCCCCATAAGTGGCCAAAAAAAAAAAAAAAAAAAGGATCTGGTTCCTAACTTACCCTATGTATCAGGCAATCCAGATTCCCGCTCTGTCCCTCAGTATATTCATCCATAAAATGGGGACAATATCCCCTACACCAGAGGTTTTTAGAGATTACTGTAAGAGACAACTTAAAAAATGCTTTTGCTGCTGGTGGCTCATGCCTATAATCCTAGGAACTCAGGAGATCTGAGATCTGAGGATCGTGGTTCAAAGCCAACCCAAGCAGTAAAGTCCAGGAGACTTTTATCTCCAATTAGCCACCAAAAAGCCTGAAGTGGAACTTTGGCTCAAGTAGTAGAACACTAGCCTTGCACATAAAAGCTCAGGGACAGTGCCCAGATCTTGAGTTAAAGCCATAGGACCAGCATCTCCCCGCTCCAAAAAAAAAAAAAAGAAAAAGAAAAAAATGCTTTTACTAAGTTGGGTGGTTGACATCCATAATCCTAGCTACTCAAAAGGATGAGATCTGAGGAGAGCAGTTCCAAGCCAAGCAGGAAAACCTTGAGTGTCTGATCTCTAATTAACTAGCAAAAAGCTGGAAGGGGAGCGGTGGCTCAAGTGATTGAGTGTTAGCTTTGAGTAAAAAAGCAAAAGATGGTGCCCAGGCTCCAAGACTAATTCAATGGTTCTGAGGTAAGAATCTGGCTTTGGTAACTTCTAAAAACTTCTCTGGGTGATTCTGAAGTACAGTCAGGTGAGAGGACTCCTCTCTGCAGGATGCAAAGGTCACCTCTTCTAGGAAGCCAGCAGTGATTTCCCCTCCTTGGAACCCCCACAAAGCCCTGAAACTACCTTCCCTTGATTGACTTAGGTCAGCCTCTATTGGATAGAGGCTGCTGGCCTCCCTGAACTGTAGGCAAAAAGAAATCTGTATTTCAAAGGAAAAATCCTGCCGGGGATTTTACTCAGTAGGTAGAGCGCCTGCCTACCAAATGGGAGGCTCTTGAGTTCAAAAACAAGCACTGCCAATACTTTTTTTTTTTTTTTTGACAGTCCTGGGACTTGAACTCAGGGCCTGGGTTCTGTCCCTGAGCCTCTATGTGCTCAAGGCTAGTGCTCTACCACTTGAGCCACAGCACCACTTCTGGCTTTTTCTGTGTTAGGGGGTACAGAAGAATCGAACCTGGGGCTCCATGCATGCTAAGCCAGCACTCTACCACTGAGCCACATTCCCAGCCCGCCAATACTTTTTACAAACTTTAAAAGTCCAACTCAAAGGAAAACCCTGGAAACTATCTAATTACAGCCTTTCACTACCTTTGGGCTATTACAGTTCAGCAAACTTTAGATAACTAACTGCTGGTATGTAAAGTAATTCCAATACCAGTACACAGCCTTCCCTCTCCAGCGGGTGGAAAAACCAGTTTTGCATCTAGTGACATTTTTCTCAATAAAAGGGATCTACCGATCTGGTTTAGTGCTGGCATTGCTGACATCTGCCTGGCATTGATCATAGATTAATGCTTAGAATAAAATCCTTAGCACAAGATCATTTTTATATCACTGTGGGTCCTGATTTTTGCCCTTTTGGAGGAAAATTATTGAGTAGTTATATGGTCTATGTGTCTTTGCTGTTATTCCCTAAAGGTTCAATCCCTACCCACAGCCAAGAGCATGAAGTGCTGACGGATTGTCAGATGATATGCACTAAACTTTCTTTAGTAACTTGGAAAAGTCACAGAATTTAAAAAAAAAAAAAAAAAGAGACACATTTAGCCATGCTGTGTTTTCATTCTTTCTATGCTTTCTATGGCCAGGATAGACAAATAACTCAAGAATTTTGGTATTCAGCCCATCTCTGTGAAGATAATCACTAATTAACCTGAAGATATCTACTGAGCAAATCAGGTTCACTCATAGGATATGAGGGCTGAAAGGGAAGAAGAGACCGACAAGGTTCTCCCCAAGGCTGGCAGGATAACACAACAGTCTGCCAATTATTTTTGGGTCTCAGAAACTACTAGTAACAAGAGAACAAAACTGAAGATTTATTACAATAAACAATATATATATATATATTTAAATAAGGTATTTACAGGTACATATAGGTACATATATAAAGGTACATATAGGAATTGGGTGTCAGTGCTATGCCTATAATTCTAGCTACTTACGAGGCTGAGATCTGAGAATCCTGGTTTGAAGCTAGCAGAGGGAAGCAAAGTCCCTGAGATTCTTTATCTCCAATTAACCACGAACAAGCCAGAAATGGAGCTATGGCTCAAATGGTAGAGCACTTGCCTTGAGCAAAAAACAAATGAACAAAAACTAAGGGACATCACACAGTCTCTGATTAAGCCCCAGTACTAGCACAAAGCAAAAGCAAAACAAAACATTTTTAAGGTATATGTTATACAGGAGCCTGAAGTTGGTGGCTCAGAATACCAGCCACTTTCTTGAGAGACACCGATGAGGAGAATGGATCATGATTCATGGTTAGTCTTGGCAAAAAGTTCGTGAAACCGTCATCTCAACCAATATCTAGGCACAGTGGTGTACACCTGTCATCCCAGCTTCAAGGAATATGTAAACAGGAAGAGTACGGTCCACAGGAAAGATGAGACCCTATCCCTAAAGTAACTAAAGCAGGGACTTTGCTTTAGTGGGGCGCTTGTCTAGGAAGGCTAAAGCCCTGAGTTCAAACTCTACTATTGCGAAAAATAAAAAGTCTGATGTTTTCTATCTCTACCTTCCAGAAGATCATTCTCCAAGGGTGTATGTACCCCCACCCTGCTTTGGATTATAAAATCTAGATCCTTCCAGGTGACAGTATGCTTGCCCAGCATATATGAGGCCCTGGGATTCTATCCCAGGTACATACACACAAAACAAATGAAAAAAAAAAAAAAGAAGAAGAAAAGAAAAGAAAAACAAACTAAAGCTGGGCACTGATGGCTCACGGAATCCTAGCTACTCAGGAGGCTGAGATCTGAGGATCAAGGTTCAAAGCCAGCCCTGACGGGAAAGTCTGTGAGACTCTGATCTCCAATTAACCACCAGAAAACTAGAAGTGGCACTGTGGCTCAAGTGGTAGGGCACTGGCCTTGAGCTGAAGAGCTCAGGGATGGCGCCCAGGCCCAGAGTTCAAGCCCCAGGACCGACCAAACAAACAAACAAAGCCCCCCAAAACCCAAAAAACTAACCCAACTAGATCCTTTCCTCTTCCCTTTTCTGATGGTTCTCCTCCACGAGTTTCAATTAATGGAGCCAGGGTAAATGCCACCCTGGCCTTGGGCCTGGGCACCGCCCCCCCTCCAGCTCCAGGCACTCAGGTTTCTTAGAGAGCAGTCTTTCCTCTCCTGACCCAGAACCATTGATCCCAGGCTGGACGAGGCCCCGGGAGGTCTTCTGGCTGCCCCAGAGATGGAAATGGTCTGACCTGGGTTTGAATCCCAGCTCAGGTCACATCGGGAGACGATCAGCAAAGCTGGCTCTATGCTGGAGCCAGACTAACTAAGATAGAAGCCAAAGGCCCGGATACACACATTTTACCTCTTGGTATCTAGTTGTATATGTAAAGTAGGGATAAAAGTAGCACCTCCCACTCAGCCCCAGTGACTCATGCCTGTAATCCGAGGTATTCAGAGAGGCTGAGATCTGAGGAGCAGGCTTGAAGGGGGGTGGGGGGAGGTCAATGACTCAAGTGGCAGCCTTCAGTGAAAAAGCCAAGCAAAAGGCCATTCAGGGCCCAGAACCCATGGGTACATATGCCCATGCGCACACAAGCCCCCCCACCCCCCAGAGTTACAAGGTAGTGAGAATGGACTGACCAAGCTCAGTGCTTACATGAAGACATGCACACAGGAGGGACATGGAAGACTTCACTCCTCCCAAAGGGCTAATAACGGTGACGCCCACATCAAGGGCTCAGCCAGGGGCTGTCAAGTTGTAAGGGCTCAGTCAATAGCTGTGGTCACTGCATTGGGACGAATCCTTCAAGGGCACTAGAACCTCAGTCTAGCCAAAGAGGCTCAGGTAGCCTGCCTCCTCCAGCACCCCACCCTTCTGCGGTTACAACAGCAGTACCTGCTTCTCTATTCAGAGCTCGGCTTGAGAGGCGACTTTCATATCTGCTTCTCATCTTGCCACCTCAGGAACACACCAGGCTTAGTCACCTCTGTGTGTGTGTGTGTGTGTGTGCCATTATTGGGGCTTGAACTCAGGGCCTCAAGCTCTTGCTTGGCTTTTTTTTTTTCTGCTTATTTTGCTTAAGGCTGGTGCACTACCACTTGGGCCACACCTCCACTTCCAGCTTTATTCATTGGTTAATTGGAGAAAAGAGTCTCAGGGATTTTTCTGCCCAGGCTGGCTTTGAACCGGGATTCCAGAGTTGCGAGGATTACAGACATACAGACAAGAACCATCAGTGGCAGCGGCAGGCTGTATTCTCTCTCTCTCTCTCTCTCTCTCACACACACACACACACAGGGCTTGAACTCAGGGCCTGGGCACTGTCCCTCAGCTCTTCAGCTCAAGGCTAGCACTCTACCACTTGAGCTACAGCGCCACTTCTGTCTCTGTGGTGCTGAGGAATTGAACCCAGGGCTTCATGCATGCTAGGCAAGCACTCTACCACTAAGCCACCTTCCCAGCCTTGTGTTCCTCATTTGCTGATGGGAGATCTGAGGCTCACAGAACCTTGGTCCCCAAGGACAGCCATCCATCCTTCTTACAGCCAGGCTCAATGGGGATTTCTCAGCCCAGGAGGAGAAAAAAAAAAGGACCCAGGGAAAGTGGCTGAAGACAAGACCAGCCAGATCTCTTAAGATGAGGATCTTGAGAGATAACCTTCCCAGCCCTCTCACACTTCCTGTTGGTGGGGGCGGGGCGCACAGGCTCAGGATTCAGTGTAGAGACCACATCCTCAGCCAGCTTCCCCACCCAGGAAGTCTTCTAAAGAGGCTGGGTGCTGCAGCCTGGGGCGCCCCCAGCCTAGGACTCACCCATCTACGGCAGAAGGAATTGGGTCCAACAAGGTGGGTGTGCCCAGGGCACCCAGCTGATTGGGTGCACGGCAGAGGCTGGGCTGAGGCCTGGCATCTCCAGGGCTCCCTCTTGGGTGCTGCAGTGCAGAGATTCCCCGCCCTGGGCAGCTACCCAGCACTGCAGACTCCCTTTCCCACTCCCATCCTGCCCTAGAGGCCTAGCCTTCCTGGGGCATCTCTCTCCTCCCAACACTCTGAGCTCCATCCCGCCCCGGCCCCAGCTGCAGCACCTGCCCAGAAACCACGGATGCACAGAGATAGCAGAAACAAAGGGTGGGAAGAGCAAGGGAGGTGGATGAGAGGCAGCGACAGCTGCAGAGGTCGGGGAGGGGGTTGGAGGCTTGGGCCTCCGCCTCCAGCCCAGCCTGGCCACACCCAACTCCCAGAAGTCTGAATCTTCAAACAGCTGAGCTGGGCAAGCACGGCCTGCAGCCAGCTCAGCAAGACCGTCTTGGGGCCCAGGGGGAAACAGGGGTGTCTAAGTCTTCCCATCTCTCCCCGCCCTGCCCATCAGGAGCTGCAACCTAGCTTTCCCCACCCCCAGGGCAGTCTTCCGAATTCTTAAAGGAGATCAGGCCCGAGGGGTTGTCCACAGGGGTTAGCAGGGTTACAGACACTCATCTGTGAGGGCTTTAGCTGGCCAGGCTATCCTGTGTGGCTGGGAGGGGCAGTTTCAGAGGGGAGGAGGGCAGAGGGGAGGAAAGACAGATTCTTGCGCGAAACCAGAGTCTTTTCACAAACCCTGCAGCCGTATGTCCAAATTTGGAGTTGTCTTGGAAAACCCACCAGAGTTTAAACAAAAGGAAGGGGAGGGAGGGAAGGAAGGAGAGAGGAAATGGGACCAGAGCAGTCCTCCCAAAGGACCCCCCCCCCCACTTTTCCCTTCCCTTTCTCCTTCCAGGGCCTAGGAGGGTAAGACAAGGCATTCCAAACCTGTAATCAAGAATCCCAAACCTGTAATAGGGTCCTGGCACCTGACAGAACCATTTGCACAGAAACCGATGGCTGGGGTCATTCGCTGGGTACGTAGGAGAAGGAAATGGAGGCTCAGAGAGGGAAAGCTACTAGCCTCAAGGTCACCCAGCAAGTTTTGGTGATGCAGCTGAGGTTGGGATTCTAACTCCCATAACAAGTATGTCTGCAAGGATCTCGAAGACTAATCTCTGAGGAAGGTGTAGACTTTCCAGCAAAGCAGAGAGAAAGGTGGAGGGGGGGGGGGAGAGGGAATCCTTGTCTCCCAGCCAAGAACCCTTGGAGGTTCCTTCAAGCGCGGCCCAGTGGCAGGAGGGACCCGCAGAGCCCGGGGTAGGCACAACAAGAGGGTCCCGGCTCCTCCGACGGCACCTTGGGTTCCCCCCTGCCCAACACACCCCAACACAGGCCATCTTCTGTCCCTTTTCGCGCTCAGTCTCGGCCTCAGTCACACCCATCCCTGCGGATCCTCAGCGCCCCCCGACCCCGGGCCTTCAAGGTTTCTTAGCTTCCACCCCCCAAGTTAGGTCCCCCCTCCCCACGATCCCTCAGCAAAGCCGGGGCTCCCCCTCGGTGCCCCTCTCTCCCCCCCATCCCCAGCAGGGGCGCGGCCCGCTCCACCCCCCCACCACCACTCAGGGTCGTTGCGCCCCTCCCCAAGCCCCGCGTGGAGAGGGCACGGGGTCAGCCGACGTGGAGACCTCTGTAACTCAGCCCTGGCTGGGGACCCCCCCCCCCCCGAGGGTCCACTCACCGCGCGTGGAGCGTCCTGTCGCGGGGCGATCGGAGGACGGAGGGACGAACGCGCACCGGGCGGGACGCGCAGGACGCCGAGCTCGCTGGTCGCGGCCCCGTTAGCTGAGCAGCTGCAGCCGCGGCGCAGCGAGGGGGCGGGGCCGACCCTGGGCGCCGGACACGTGACACGCAGAGGCCAATCGGGTTAGGCCGCGCCTGGCCACGCCCCCTCCGCCAAGCCACGCCCCCACCCCCACCCCACCCGGGAGCCTTCACTTCGGGAATCTTTAGAATGTCACCCAGTACTGGGAGGCGTGGGGGGACCCCAGGCTCCAGACCCCCAGATCTGCAGAGTAAAGGGGTGTGGCCAAGGGCTCTGACTCCCCGACTTGTGGACCCCCCCAGATTTCCCGCAACTCCACAGCCCCAACGCTTTGCTGAGAAACTGAAAAGTGAAGAGAGGCCTAGCACCTCAGCTGCCTGATCGGGTTTCATGCCTCAACATCCCCTTCAGGTCACTGGCATGACTTACTCCCTTCCCAGGAGGAGAACAGCCCAGGCCGCAGGAGGCAGTTCCTTGACCTAGGTCGCTCAGCTAGTAGGCTGTGGTGCGGGATTCGAACTTGGGCCCCAGCAACCCTAGATGCTCGGTTCCTGGGGGAGCATAGAATAGTGAATGGGGAGGAGGGGGGGTGTTGAAGGTGGCAGACAGAATCCAGAAGTGATCATCTAGGGCTGTGTTGAAAACAAATGTCAGCCAGGGCTCCCCCTGGCCCAGGCTGAGATCTGAGCATCGTGGTTCAAAGCCAGCCCGGGAGGGGGCGGGGGGAAGCCCATGAAACTCATATTTTTTGATTAAGCACCAAGAAGCTGGAAGGGGAGCTGTGGTAGAGTGCCAGCCTTGAGCAAAAAAGCTAAGGGAACAGCACCCAGTCCTTGAGTTCAGCCCCAGGATTGGGGGGGGGGGGGGACGGGGTAGGGGGAGAAGGAGGGGGAAGGGGAGCGCACTTCAGGAATGGAACAAGAGAAGCTGAACCTAGTGAAGATGTTGGTGAGTTCTTCTTATGCATCATGGTAATGGTTGCTATTTAACAAACACTTTCTATAAGCAAAGCCTTCAGCCGGGCGCTGGTGGCTCACGCCTGTAATCCTAGCTACTCAGGAGGCTGAGATCTGAGGATCGCGGTTCAAAGCCAGCCGGGGCAGGAGAGACCGTGAGACTCTTATCTCCAATAAACCACCAGAAAACCGGAAGTGGCGCTGTAGCTCAAGTAGTAGAGCGCTTGCCTTGAGCTGAAGAGCTTGGGGAGAGTGCCCAGGCCCAGAGTTCAAGCCCCACGACCGACAAAAAAAAAAAAAAGCAAAGACTTCAGGTAAACATCTTATATGCAATGTCACACTTCATCCTCACAACTCTCTGAAAACATTTATTTAGTTCTTACTATGTGCCAGGCACTATTCTCTGTGTGTGTGTGCATGTGCACACTTGCACACCAGTACTGGGACTTGAACTCAGCCCTGGGTGCTATCCCTTAGCTCCCCCCCAACCCCATATACACCCAAGGTTGGTGTTGTACACTTGAGCCGCAGACCCAGTTCCAGCTTTTGGGTGGTTAATCAGAGATAAGTACGTCATAGACTTTCTTGCCTGGGCTGGCTCCCAATTTAGATGCTCAGATCTCAGCCTCCTAAGGGGCTAGGATTAGAGACACTATTCTGAGAGTTGTATAGACAAAGATCTCTGTTCTCTCATTGAGTCTGTCTGCCAGCAGAGGAGGAAATAAATAAACAGTAAATAAATATGCCCAACTGGGTGTTGGTGGCTCATGCCTGTAATCCTAGCTACTCAGGAGGCTGAGATCTGAGGATCACGGTTCAAAGCCAGCCTTAGCAGGAAAGTCCACGAGACTCTTATCTCCAATTAACTATCAGAAAACCAGAAGTGGTATGGTGGCTCAAGTGGTAGAGCGCTCTCCTTGAGCTGAAGAACTGAGGGACAGCACCCAGGCCCAGAGTTCAAGCCCCACAACCACCACCACCACCACCACCACCAACACACACACACACACAGAGGAATGAAGTATTAACACAAAATTCCATGTGGATAAACTTCAAATTAGCTCATAACTGTAATCCTAGCTACTTGGGAGGCTGAGGTATGGAGGATCAAGGTTCAAAGCCAGCCTAGGAAGACTTTCCTCTCCAATTAACAGTGAAAATGCCAGAAGCAGAATTGCGGCTAAAGTGCCAGCCTTGGATGGAAAAAGCCAAGAGAGAGTACAAAGCCCTAGGTTCAAGTCCCAGTACTAGTATGGCACTGGCTCAAGCCCCAGCACTAGTACGGCATGTGCACATGTGGATATTCACACGTATCTGCACACATGCACACACACACTGCTAAATGAACATGGCCAGACACAAATGGACTCATTATATTTCATTTATACACAATATATAACTATTTCATAATACTAAAGGGGCAGAAAGCAAATCAGTGGCCACTAGGACTAGGGATCCATGGGAAACAGAATGACTGCTTATTTGTGGGGGGTTTCCCTTAGCAGGGATGAAAATGTTGGGGCACTGGACAGAACCCAGTGGTTACACAACATGGTGACTGTCATGACTCTTCTTTGCTCAATAACCTGCGACAGCTGCCAAATGACTCAGAGTAAAAGGCAAAGTCCCCTCGGGCTTCACAGGTCCTGCACGATTCGTTCCCTCTTACTTCTCCTCTCTTGCTTCTCTACCTACTTCTCACCGGCTTTGCTCCAGCCCAGCTCACCCCTCCTAGAGATCTGGAGACATGACAGACTGACCTGCTCTTGCTGTGAGGGTCTTATCCAGATGTTCCTTGGCTTGGATTCTTTCCACAACCATCTGTTCAATTCTGCACCCTGGCTTGCCTCTGCTGCATCTTATTTGAATCTCAGTCTCTCCACAAAACCTCCCATAATTCCGTACTTCCACCTGCTGCTCTTCCCCTGGCTTTCCCTATTTTTGCCCACAGCGCGTGTGCACACACACACACACACACACACATACACACACAATTTATTTATTTATTTGGGGTTATGGGGCTTGAACTCTAGGCCTGGGCGCTGTTCCTCAGCTCTTCAGCTCAAGGTGAGCACTCTACCACTTGAGCCACAGTGTCATTTCTGGTTTTCTGATGGCTAATTGGAGATAAGAGTCTCATGAAGTTTCCTGTCCAGGCTGGCTTTGAACCGTGGTCTTTAGATCTCAGCCTCCTGAGTAGCTAGGATTACAAGGCATGAGCCACTGGCACCTGGCTTTCATTCCTTTTTTTAAGACTAAATAATAACCCATTGCATAATATGACATGTTTTGTTTCTCCATTCATCTGTTGTTGGAGTTCAAGTGACTTAAGTTCTTTGACCTTTGTGAATAGTATTGATGTAAATGATTGGAAACACTTCTGTGTTTGGTTCTCTTATTTTATTTACTTAGGGGTGAGACTGATGTAGTCCCGTGGGAATTCTAGATTTAATGTTTCTTTTGTTTTATTTTCCCCTTTTTTAAAATAGTATTGTTAATGTTGAAAAAAGAGGAACTTTTTGTGGAGGTTTTTCTTTTTGTGCTAGAGTGGTCCAGGATGGCTCTGAACTCTTGATTCTCCTGCATAGACCTCCTGAGTGCTGGGACTATATCTCATTTTGCTACCACACTTGGCTTTGTAGGAGGTTACTAGGCTGGAGAGGCCATGGCTCGGCCAGAGTGGTATATACATGGAAGAGGAGGGAAGGACTTAGGGATGGAACATATTTGAAGGTCAGCTGAAAATGATTTCTTGGAGTACTGGATGTGAAGTTAGAAAGAAGAAGAGAAACTGAGAAAGCATCTTAGTGGTCAAGCAGCTGGGTGGGTCCAATTCCTAGCATGTGAAAGGAAGGATCTGTTATTTGTGGGTAGAAGTGAGAGAATGACCAGAAACTCAATCTCTGACCTGTTTGTTGAAGGTTTCTAGTAGACATCCAAGGGCTGTGTCAAATAGGCAGTTGACTAGTAAGTCTGGGAATCCTAGAGGTAATCTGTTAAGAGTTGGGGGGGGGGGGAAGAAGAGCAGGGCACTGGAGATTCACACCTATAATCCTAACTACTTGGGAGGCAGAGAACAGGAGGATCGTTGTAAGAGGTCAACCTAGGCAGAAAAGTTCTTGACACCTTTTTTTTTTCTAAACCAATGACTGGGCACAGTAGCCTACATCTGTATCCCAGCTACTGTGGGAAGCATAAGTATCAGGATTGCTGTTTTTGCTAGCCCAGACAAAAAAGCAATACCTTGTCCCCCAAAAAGGGCTGGAGGTTTGGCTCAGGTGAGTGGAGTCTTTGACCAGCAAGCACCAAGCTTTGAGTTCCAACTCCAGGGCTATCAAAAGCAGAACAAAACAAAGAAACAAAAAACACACTCCAAGTTGGGGAGAAGGAAAAGCGTCCAGCAAAGGTGACTGGAACAATGCTGGGTTGAGAGGAAAACATCCCAGGAGAGGGCAGGAAGCAAGTAAAAAACACACACACACACACACACACACACACACACACACACTGCCAGGAGGAAGCCTGACCAGTTGTGTCAGCACTGCTTTTAGGTCCAGCAGGCTCAGGCCCAATAGTCTATCCATTGTGGGATTGAGCAACGTGAAGGTCAATATTTCTCTTGCAGCAAGGAACAGAGTGTCAGAATGCTGGGACAGAGCCTGGCTTAAGAGACCAAGAATAAACAGTATCTGGCAAGTTCTGTGTCAAGAGATGTGTGTGTGTGTGTGTGTGTGTGTGTGTGTGTGTGTGTGTGTGTGTGTGTTGGGACACTGTCTCTTAGGTCCTTTTTTTTCTTTTCAATCAGGGTTGGTGCTCTACCACTTGAGCCACAGCTCTATTTCTGGCTTTTTTGCTGGTTAATTGGAGATAAGAGTCTCACAGATTTTCCTGCCTGAGTTGGTTTCAAACTAGGATGCTCAGATCTTAGCTCCTGAGTAGCTTGAGCCACCAGTACCTGTCAAGAAATGATTTGGTTGATTTTTTTTTTGCCAGTATGGGCTTGAACTCAGGGCCTGAGCACTGTCCCTGGCTTCTTTTGCTCAAAGCTAGCATTCTACTTGAGCCATAGTGCC